ACAAAAAGTTAATATTTACAAGAGTCAAATATCAATTGAAAGCATATCAGTGACCGTAAAACTTATAAGAAAAATTAAAAAATTAAAAAATTAAAATCTCTTTGAAGCTTTTTAGTGTCTTTCAGCTAATGGTTCTGGTATCCTGGCCTGCAACTTTACAGTTTTGGTGTCACCTCTTTTCAGTGAAAAAACCCTCTAAAATCACACTGTAACTACCTGCTGGCACCAAACGGCAGACAAAATGAGCAACTAGCTAGTTATAGTTGATTGTTAAAAGAGTCAGAATAGCCCTCTGGAGTTGGTAGCAATAGGTGAGACCAAAAACAGAGCTAAATAAGAGAGAACATTGGGCCTACATTCATCAGGAGGCCAAAACTGTTTGCTAGCATGGTATCAACTTAAAAAGTAGTAATATGTCAGTGTGTTTATAAATTGTTTCTGCTGCCCCAAAGTTACAAAAACAACAAAAGTTATGCAGGTTTAGATTTAAATGAGGATGCTGAGTTTGCTCATCTGATATCTAACAGAAGAGCTCTGAAATCCTGACAGTAAACGCTCTCATGCTCTCTGTCTTCAGTCTAACCCAGGGACAGCCAACATCAAAATGTATAGTTGTGGACAGTTGTGGCAGCTGTATTTTAACAAGGTGGAGGTTTTCAGTTAGATTCTGGGACAGTTTGTAAATAATGAGCTACAGTGAGAATTTTCCACTGAGAAATACTTAAAGTAAATAAATATTTCAGCCTCCTGTGCACAGTGCAATCTCACGTATTCCCATATTGTAGGGAAAAATAGCATGACTTTGGCTTTATTAACATTTGACATTAGAAAATGACATTCATGGCTTCATGTCTGCAAGGTTGTGAGTGTGTTAACAAAGGAGAGGTCTCTCTCTCTTTCTTCTTCTAGTTATTATTATTATTATTATTATTTATTTTTGTCATTTATGAGGTCTGACTTCCAAAAAGTGACGGGTATGGATTTTGTCTTTACAGCTGTGGTTCAAACAACTGATGGTGAGCTTCAGGATGTTGTACACTGTTGGCTATTCCTTGTCCCTCTTCACGCTCATAACGGCTCTTATCATTCTTCTGAGCTTTAGGTAAGATGTCTAACAGATGTGCCGTCATTTTTGTTTAGCATATTATTTACCAATGTGTCAATCATACCTCATTAAAGCTGCTCAGAAGATCTGTCCCTCCTCTTTGACAAAGGCTGTGAGAAAAACTTTCAAACAGATAATCAGATAACACGGTGCATCATTTATTCTAAATACAAATCAGATCCCTCGCAATTGTCGAGATCTTCAGCATTCATAACAATCAAGTACAAATGCAGGATCAGAAGATTGTATTATGTAAGCCAATACTGAATGTAATCAATTTTGCATCGAACACATTTTACTACTTCTAGCATGCACAGTGATGATATAGAAGTGAAGTGATTACAGGGTTATCAAACAATAGTGATATATTTTTTAAAAAAACTGACAAAATAGATATTAGCTTTTTTAAGTTCAGTCCATTAAAAGAAAAAAAAAAGAAAACCAACAAAATCAAGAACAAAGACGCAAGAAAGAAAAACTCATTTATTTGACACACAAAATTCAAATTTTTGGTACTTTTATGTCTCCTTACAGGAAATTGCACTGCACCAGGAACTACATTCATGCTAACCTCTTCCTGTCCCTCATCCTGCGAGCTGTTTCTGTAATAATTAAGGACACCATGCTGGAACGCCACTGGGGACGAGAGATCATGAAACAAACCGACGTGAGAGAGATGCTCAGTCACCAGGTAGATCTTTAAATCTACTGATGGCGGTTTACTGTTGTTTATTTGTTGTAGATCACCACTAAAAATTCTCAGTGTATTTAACATAGATGAAGCCAACAACAAGTTTAAACACTAGCCTCATGTTATATGTATTTTTTATGACCATTCCCTCTAGGCTGCTATTGGCTGCAGGATAGCACAGGTGATGATGCAATACTGTGTCCTGGCCAATCACTATTGGTTCTTTGGAGAGGCAATTTATTTGTACTCCGTGCTTATTGCCTCAGTGTTCATCGACAATAACAAATACTTACCTTACATCTGTCTTGGCTGGGGTAAGTTCCATCTCTTTTTCCGAGACTTATTTTGTGGGAGACGGTCCGCTTTTGCCATCCTTTAAAAGTGAATTCCACTTCACACCAAAGAGCACCTCATTACAGAGATACCGAACAGCTCACATTCAACAGGCACAATGCAACCATAGAAATGTCTCTCTGTCATATGTCCTCCCTTATCTAGTCAGCCTATTAACAGTACTTACAACGATCAGTCCCTCCAGGATTAAAAAAAAAAATTGCGATGCACATTTTTAGGCAATGAAAGTAGGAGGAAAAACATCTGTGATTATTGTTATTTTTTGTATAATTCAAAGGAATCTTGTTTCAGTGTGATCAAAAATCACACTGTTTAGATAGGGTAAATGTGAGACGTCCATATGGTCTGCATCACAACAAGGAGGGGAGTTTGGTGACATATGGCTCAACATTTTGTACAGGAAACTATAATGATTGGTCAAATTTGCAGAAAAGTATGGTGATTGGACAAAACTGCAAGGTTGGGCAGAATTCACAGGGATTGGTTGAATTTGCGTTAATTTTTATGATTGCAACATCACAACTGCCTGGAGGGATGGAAAAAACCTAAAGCAGTGTGGCTTTTATAGATGAATGGCAATTACAGCAATCTTTACTGTCCTTTTCATAGGAACTCCACTTCTATTTGTGATTCCCTGGGTAGTGATGAAGCTATTAAAAGAAAACAAAGAGTAAGTGTGTGTGTGTGTGTGTGTGTAGCATTCCCATGTGCCTGATTACTTGATGTGTAAACCCCCTGCCCCTACTGATCCAGATTAGACAGTGGAGAAATAGTAATCACGTCCCTTGTCTTTTCAGGTGTTGGGCTGTAAATGAGAACATGAACTACTGGTGGATAATTCGCTTCCCAATTCTTTTTGCTTCACTAGTAAGGATGCAAATAGTGAACAGTGTTGAGTTGCATATTTTGTCATCATGTGACATTTTGGACCCCTCTGTATAATATATGGCATAATATGTCATTTTTGCACAGGATGCAGCAATTCATTCTTTGATTTTCTCATCAACAGATCAACTTTCTGATTTTCATGAAGATCCTGAAGGTCATTCTTTCTAAATTACGAGCCAACAACCAGAGTGGATATCCTGATTACAAACTTCGGCAAGTTGTCTTAATCTATTTTCATTTATGATAAATTAACAACAACAGTACATTAAACAGTAACAGAAAAGCACTAATGGGTGTTTGGTAGGAGAGGGAACAAACAATGTTTGCATGGTGTATGAATGTACTGTGTTGTGACAAACTGCTCTGCTGCTTGATTTGTCCTCTAAGGCTTGCCAAGGCGACCCTAACTCTCATCCCTTTGTTTGGGATTCATGAGATCATATTCATCTTTGCTACAGATGAGCAGACAACAGGTGTTCTGCGCTACATTAAAGTCTTCTTCACCCTTTTTCTCAATTCATTTCAGGTAGGTTCAATTGGATAAGAGAGCGGCTGCTTGCTATTGCTGATATACCTGACATGTTAAAACTATGTAATTGTCTAAACATTATCTAATGTGTTCCTGAATAGCAAATATAGTATACATTACTTAAACTAAACAGGACTTTTTTTTAATGTGGCCTCTCCGCAGGGCTTTCTGGTGTCTGTGCTCTACTGCTATGCCAATAAAGAGGTTTGTTGTTTCATCTCATATTCTCATTTCATTTTTATACCCTGATTAGCCATATTTACCAGTCACACTATGTAAGAGACAACATACATGAATCTGCATGGGTATAAAAGTGCAGAATTTGGATAAAATCATTGTTAATACTTTTGATAATGAAATATTTATTTTCATAAGAAACCAATTTAGGGTTGTCAGGTGGGGACTTGCTTTCCGTTTCCATTTTCAAGCATCAGACTGGCAAATGTCACAAAACTGGTGCACAAAATGGTACATTAACTCTGAAATGGCTCACCTTTACTTTGGGTGCAGGTGAGGACAGAGCTGAAGAGGAAGTTACGCAGCTGGAGGATAGAGGCTGAGATTGTATGCTGTGGACAGTGACTAGGCGTGCTTGACTCTCGAGTAGACACTTTCTCCATTGCCACAGTGCCGGAGCGCAACAGATCATCTGCCACAACAATCAGGGCAATGCCTGATGGTTCACCTACTCCTGAGAGTTCGCTGATTTTTAGGCGTCAGGTTCAGCCAACTTCCCCACACCCTGATGACTCTTTGCTGCACTGTCCATCAGTGGTAAACAGAGATAACACCCTGCAGTGTGGGGATCCGGATGACACTGGACAACCGTCTGTGGCAATGCAGGTGTCCTTCCTCATTCATCTTCAAGACCCTGTGGAGTTACTCCCACATGTTGTAAATATAGATCCAGACTGAATACGTTTTTGCATTCACTGTACATTTTAAGATTATATGTGTTTTGTTGTGAATATGTACAATTGTGAATAATTGTTATTATGTAAGTTGTAAAATTGTGAATATGTGAATAAGTGATTGTTATCATTTCTGACTTGAGCTATCTTTACATAAAAAATAATACAAATGGAGTATAAAAATTGAAAGGATATTTCTTTATATTGACTATTCAATGTGTGATGGAAGCAGTGCAGGATGGCTAATTTATTATCTAAGACAGTAGTGTGTGGGGTGGACACACCATTTGGTATGACAGATGGGTAGACCAGCAAACAAAAACAAAATAGTCCCAAAAAGGACTTTACAAACTGTAAATCTAATCTATACCTAACTATATGCATATCTTGGGTGGTAATGTATAGCCCTTTTGCTCTCATATTCCAAAATATCACAGTTTCTCTTCAGTGTGCCCATTGCTGTTTGAACTACATTACCCAGAAGCGCCAAGCAAAGCAACGCATAGACGTCATGAGCGTCCTGCTGTCGTTGGCAACGGCGGAGGCTGCTGGAGCGGGAAGGATATAACTGCCGTACCAAGCTGTTGTCAAATTAAAACTATTGTTTACTTGATACCCGGGAGTACTGGAACAGCCCTCGCACCGTAAAATGATGTGAAACAAAATGTTTTTATCGTTTTGGCGTCTGGAAAACGGACAAGGCGCTTCTCCGGCCATTTAGCTGTGTGTTTGCTAGCTAACATCTCTAAATTGAACACTAGCAGCTCGAGTTTTAACAAGTTGCAGCAAGACTGGGACATCAACAGGTGGATCTCCCATTTACGATATTCGATAACAATGGCCTCCAAAGGTAAAATTAGCTTTAAACTTTACATCATACAACAACAGAGACTATATAGACCAGAGATAAAACCCATAACTTGAAACAATGCTGTTAACCTACCGTGAAGTCTGTTACTAAAACTCTGTTTTGACTTCGCAGGTTGGCAGCTTCCTTACGTCAACATATTCAAACATGTCAGAGTGGAAGACTGGAAACGGTCGACAAAAGTGGGGAATGTGTCATCAAACACGGTAATAGACTGTAATTGTGATATTGAAAGTCATACTTGAGTCGCAAACTCCACTGCTCCATAACCTCCATAAAAACAGTCCTGCTGCATCCACTTCGTGTAGGCTTAGTATGCACAAACACACAGACTGTCTCAGTCCTCACTAACTTTCAAGCCTACCTGGAGTGATTGTCTTTGGGTGGAGTATCTATAAGCAATCGCACCAAAGTTAGCTTACTTTTTGTCCACTTTCTATGATATCCCCCAGAACAAGACGCTGAAGTGTCCAGTGTTCCAGATCAGGGGTCCCGTTCCTTCCAACAGCTACATCCTGGTGCCCAAAAACAGCAACCAGTCTCTGGAGCTGACGGGGCGCTACTTCTACCTTCTCTTCAGGCCCACCCCTGGCAAATACTTCGTGGTCCACCTGGATGTTTCTGCTGAGGTATCAAACTGATTTTATTGGATGATCCGGGGCACGTGTATGTATGGTGACATGAGGAGTACTGATTGGGGTGCCCTGGTAGTTCACCTGGTAGAGCTCACGTCCCATGTACTGAGGCTGAGTCCTTGCCGAAGTGGCCCAGGTTTGATTCCAATCTGCGGCCCTTTGCTGCATGTCTTCCCCTCTCTCTCTCCCCCCAGTTCCCTGTGTTCCCTGTTCCCTGCCAGCTTTCACTATCTAAATAAAGGCATGAAAAGTCCCCAAAAAATAAATAAAATAAGAGTACTGATATTTATACTATCTAAGCGATCTATCATTTAACAAGAAATTGTATCATTCATGTGACTGACGTTTGAGTTGAAATCAATCAGATTAATCCACAGCTCTGCCATTTTAGCTTTCTTTGTAATCCTTTGACATTTAAAAGCGTTCCTTTTCAACGTGTTGGCATTCCAATATAATTGAAATTCCAAAGTGGGAGAAAGTACTCTACACGTTATCAAGTTAAATACCATCCAATTGTGTGGAGGAAAAAAAATCATCATCTTCTATTTTTCAGCTGCTTTGTCCTAATTTATGTATGTAAATCCAATTGATTTTACTCATGTTCAAGCAGTTCTTAAAAGCTTGTTGGCATTTTAGAACTGTTCAAAAGAAAACCCGAGCAGTTTATTTAGTTGTGAGATATTTAACCCTTATCTACTATAAATGCCACTTATATGGTGTATGTGAAGAAGGTTTGAATTGATTTATTTTTTTTAAAGGAAGATATTTTCTTTCTCTCTCTCTCTCTCTCTCTCTCTCTCTCTCTCTCTCTCTCTCTCTATGCTATGATGTGTAGGAGGGCCAGGTGGTCCGTATCTCCTTTTCCAACATGTTCAAAGAGTTTAAGTCTACACCGACCTGGCTTCAGTTTCCTTTCCTGTGCGGAGCTGCAAAAGATTCAGTCTATGAAAGCACAGCCAAATCTGCAAGACATGGTAAAATATATTCACACACATGTAACCATACTACCTACATGTGACCCGTTATTTGTATGCATTTGTTTTGATAGTTCGCTGCACTTTTGTATATATATTATAATGGCAGTATTAATGTTTATGTGGTCCAGATTTGGTGGGTCCAGCTCCCACTTCAGTGCGTTGGACCTGTCTGATGCTGGATCTGCAGTACACTCTCTCTGTCTACCTCAACCGCTGCTACAGTCACCTGAAGAGCGTCAAGCTTTGTGCCAATATGGCAGTGAAAAATATGTTAACCAGTGACCTACTGCTAGATCCAGGTGAGTTGAGCAAGTTTAAGTGCGATAATAACATACAATATGTACACTTCCTGTCGATATTTGAATACCACTGGTGGTTTTCTGCTAGTTTGAAGTGATGTCATGTGGATAATAAGAGAAATTAACCTGTGCTCTTCTTTAAAGGGCACTTTGATATAGAAATGACGTCAGAATTTTCAGTGTCACAGACAAAAAACATACGGCTTCTGTTAGATCCTGAGTCACCCCCGTATAGGTGGTACTGGACCAGCTCTCCGTTTAAGGGGTCTGAGCCTCTTGCCTGTGGGTATTACCCTGCCAGGTTCAGAAGAGGACTGTTGAAGCTGGTGGCGAGGAGACATGCCTAGCTTCTAACTGCCTTCATCCGAACGCCTACCCTGCTCACACTAGTGCAGCACCTGACCGAATAGCCCTAGGGTCAAATACCACACTAGTCACGTCAGTTCACGGCAGCTCTTCTCTAATTGATCTGTGCACTTGTTACTAGGATTATTTTTAGTGGCTTCGACAGTAAGCCCCAAGGGTCTGTTTAATTTATTTGGCTAGAGTAACCTGTTAGAACCTTCAAGATGTTAAACACACTACCTAATAATTACTACCTGTAGAGAACATAAATCCAATGTCCACAATTTATTCTTTAACTGCAGATGTTATATTTTATTGCAAGATTCAGCAAGGGCTAGCATAGAGCATAAATTTATTCAAAATTGATTATTCACATCTACTGATAAAGATCAACTATCTCTGATATTACAAAGAATTGTTTAAATTTCAAACCCTGATGAGAAGGCTGTAGCTGAAAGGTTAAATGTCCAATTTAAAGAAAAAGAGGGAAGGGGTGTATGGGTGTAAGGAGTGAAACTCCCGACTTTGTCCAAAGTCCGCAAAGTCTCTGACCAGTGCAGTCTCTGCTGGCAGGGTGAAGAAAAGAGTGATCCTTGGAGATCAATTGGAATCCTAAAGCCGGGTGGAAATGGTTAATCCTCCTCTGCTCGACACTCTCGTTTCGGCTTTAGGTTGTTGGACTTCTCTTTCTGCGATGTTGGGCTTGTTCGTTTGCTCCGTCTCTTGAGTTGAAATTCTAAGTTCAAAGATGCGTTGCTCCAATGTGGTCGATCGATCAGCAAGTCTTGAACCCGAGAGCCTGCCGAGGACTAACCCCGATCCTCCTTGTGCAGCACCTTTTATCCCCCGTGTCTCCTAGGGTGTTGTTCAGTTCGTACCTAGTACTTCTTCTTTTGCTCCTCACAAGATGTGTCCTGTGTGTGCTCCAACTTACCTTTTCTCTCAGCACCAGGCATGTCCGGTTGCAATACGTGCCTTTTTACCTAGTTACTCAACACTTCAACATGATTTGCTCTCTTGACCTTACTTTGCATAGTTCTATCTTACTACTATGCATTTATACTCAGTAATTATCAAATAATCAGTTACAATCATATAATCATGTTTCATTTCATTGTAACATATTTCATTTTGTAATATAGAATCAACTTCAATCATTATACAGCTTTTGGTTATTATAATCTCTGTGCATTGCGTTATTCAGATGGAGAGTCCCTAATGCTCCTTGTTATCTTTCTCCATTACTCGATGGAAAGTCCTTTGCTTTCCCAAGTGGTTTTAGTGGATCAGGGATCTCAACTTACTTGACACTTCATTATTAGAGCATTAAAGAGCCCTTTCAATCCTAAACCCATGCTTATATTCAAACCACTCAATTAAATTACCAAATGTCTCCCTTGGTAAAATGAATTGAATTCTGAGAATATTTTGAGAGCACTTGAAATCCTTTAGTATATGGTCTATGGTCTTCACACACCGATCATTCCGTGTAAGGTTCAATCAGACTAAATGCTTAGATTTCTGAACAAACTACTTGTATGACATCTTTACTTTTCTCTTCCACTTGTGCAATTTTCCTCCTTCAACAGGAGTTTCCTTCAGTGAAGCTAAGCTGATGGGCCTGGCCTCTTCTCAGGGAACAGGTCCTATGCCCAGAGACATGTCGTTTCCTGTGCCCAAGGGAACCTCCTGGCATGATCTCTATGATTACATCAGGTATGGTAACTTCACCTGGGTACAGAGTGTACATAAATCAGCAGATATGGCAACACACCAAAAATGTAAAATACAACATTCACAAATGAATGGTACACACTTCAGATTGATAATATGTGAGCATGTTAAGGTGAATTTAATATTACTGATATTAAATATTTATTATTTTTTGATATTACTGAGACACTACCAGTGGGTATATATGATTGTCCGATTTAAAAAACACCAGTTGTATTAAATACAGTCTATGTAATTATTGATTTAAGAATATAGTTACCTGCTTTATCACAGTGTACAGCAATGTAGTCTCTCATCTTGTCCTACCCCAACAGGTTTCCCTCAGAGGGAACAAAGTTACCCTTTGACTCCTTTCAAAAAGGCAATCCCAGGCCTGAGGCTAGTAAGTCATGAAATATCACACTGCTTATCGTTCAGCTTTTTACTACCCTTGCATGCTATACTCTGTGGGTCTAATTTATTTTCTTTCTTTGGAGTGGGAGGGGGTTATTCCACTTGTTATTGCATCTAAAATATCATAAATATTTACTTTTCTTTCATTCCAGTCTTACTTGTTGTAATATTTTTGCATATTCACCATTCACTAAAGTAAATTAGAGCCATCAGAGCTTTAAAAAAAACCCTATTACAGGACAAATATGTGGGATCAGAGTTGTTCTTTCAGACACACAGCCTATACATTTCTTGGCAATCCTAAGCCTTGGTAATAGCAATGTATTGTAGATGAACTTCATATCCTTTTCTTTTCCAGTATGTGTCTCCAACCAAAGAAACCCTATTAGAGAGGAGTCTCGCTGTGTCAACCTCAGCAAACCAGTTAAGGACCGTGTATCCCTCATCCAGCAGATAACCAGTCCAAAATCAGTAAGACTGATAACATTTAGTACCTTTTTTAAGTAAAGTATATGTGATTCCAGTCTGCTTGAATCTTGTCTGTGTAAATATAGCAGATAGTTAAGCTTGAGCCTTTGCATTACAAATATAGTTTTCTAGGATGCTATAATGTTATTAGTTTTCTCCTTCTGTCTCCTCAGCTCCTGAGGAATCAAACCCCCTTGGTGACCAGCATACCCGAGCTGGGCGTAGTTACCACTCACCAGAAGGATCACTGGCTCAGCCATAAGGATGACCAGCATCGGCAGGAGTCAGCATGCTCCAGTTCACACCAGCTCACATTCAGGCCACCCTATGATGCTGATGACAGGGAAGTTCACGTGTACGTGCATCCTGAGGACGGCTTCAGCAAACATGGGGAAGAAAGTGAAGAAGAGGTGAAGCAGCATATCGACTAGATTGTACATTCAACCAAAGTTAATAGCATAATAACCCATTATATACTACATTCCTCTCTCCTTTTGTGCATCAGGTTCAGCATAATAAATTTCCTTGACTCCATTATGCCTTACTGTACAGTTTCATGGTAACTTTGGAATCACTATTTATCTTGTTATATTCTCAGTTTGTTTGCACCCCTGTTCCACATCCTGTCCATCTATCATCGTCCAAAGTAACAAGACAGCAGGTAAGAGATGAGGACAGTGAAGAGTAAAATAAAACCAGCTCCAGAGACATCATTTGTTTGAGAGCTCATTACAGATCTTTGCCTTTACTTTTCTTCTCTCCTTGTTAGAAGCTTCTTCCAGACCCAATTCTCCGACTCAATCGAATCATCGGCTTTGGAGGAGCGACTACTAAATGTGTATGCTCATATGGAGTTAAGCCCTTATCAGGCTGCCTTCACATACACTGTGATTTTGAAGGTCACATATAAAATGCATTACATCAGCGACGGATAGAGGTCTAACAGCTGTGCTTTAATTCACTTTAGGCCCTGTGGACCAAATCTGGTGATGCGGTGGTGTATCCGTGTCATGCAATTATCGTCTCTATGAAGATATCCTCTTACCAGCAGAGATTCTTCATCGGCCACACTGATAAGGTAAATGAGCTTTTATGTGGTGTGCTCCCTCCGTAGCTGAATCTTTTCCAATGTGTAGGATGGTACATCTATTCTAGTAGCATCCTAGATATACTAAGGTACTTTGGGGATTCACCTAATTCCCTCCAGGCCACGAATGCAGCTGCATGAGAGATAATTTTACAGAAATTTCCTGTGTTTTCTCTTCAGGTATCTACACTGACCTTTAATGGCAACACAACACTGCTGGCCTCTGCACAAACTGGTAACCACAGTGTAGTTCGAGTGTGGAACTACCACAAAGGAACCTGTCTGGCCATGTTTAGGATTCATGCTCACTCATTATCCTCGCTTAGGTACCCTAAACACTTGCAATCACTCACACAATTATCTTACATATGAAATGAGGTCAAAGCATGTGTGGAACACACTAATTCTAAGTCTGTTTTGTTCTCTTTCCATTTTGAAGCTTCTCACACGGCAGTGGTATTCTCTGTGGAGTGGGTAAAGACAGTCACAGTAAAACAGTAAGCGCCACAAATGCAAATTTTCCAACATGAAAATTCAAGAGCTTCATTTCTGATTTGCGTAAGGCAATTAGCCCTAGCTGTGCTCAGAATCTTTAGAGAGAGCCATCGGTATCATTAGATCCAGATTAATAAATGCTAAGCAACACTTTATATCATTACTCAGAGTAATCATTTTATTTTTTACATGCTATAAATTGCTCCTATTATTAGAGTCCATCACTCAGCAAAGCTACAAGCTCACTGTCTCTGTTTGTCATCCTAATTCAACCTTTCATAGATGGTGGTAGTGTGGAACACTCTGAACATTAGTAAAGGTGGAGAGGTGTCTATCTTAGCCAAAGCACACACAGATGTGGATATCCACACCATGAAGGTTGCCTTCTTCGATGATACACGGTACCGTCCTTTCTCTGTGTATTTTTGGTTGCGTATTTGATTATTTCCTTAGCCAACAATGCATGTTTGAATATTTGGTAACATTTTTGTGCATATGTCCGTCCATCTGTTGACCTGTTGAGTAAATGTCGATGACATTCGTGTATCTGCTCTGTCTTAACGTAATAATGTTGACAGCCAGTGATTCATACATTTACTGATTATACATATTGTATAATGCCATGTTAGAGGTCTGTAGCAAATATAGGATCAGCACACAGTTCACTTAAAGATGAGTTCTGCAACAAGTTCTGTAAATCCTGCAGATGTTTGTGGACAGGTTTCAGTCCACTTTCCCAATCCTTTCAGCAGAAGGTCTGGATGAGAGTGGGAGAGGTTACAATGTTCTAGCTGCAGGAGCAGGAAAGATTTAAGGCTCATCCCAGCTTCTCAGTAAACTTAATGTGTGTTGATTTCAGGATGGTGTCATGTGGTCGGGATAATATTCGCCTGTGGCGAGTGCGGAATGGGACGCTGCGCTCCTGTCCTGTCAACTTGGGAGAATACCACTCAATGGATTTCACTGATGTGGCTTTTGAGGAAGGAAACTCCAACCAATGTCTCGATGATAGAACACTGTGAGTGAGCAAACCAGTCACTACTTTGAAAACTCTGAAAATGTTATTATTAAAAGACTATTTTCCCATGATTTCCCTCCCATAGATTTGCCAGCAGTCGGAGTGGCTATATCTTTGAGATCGACTACAGCAGAGTTGTTATCAGAAATGTCAGGCGGCTGTTGCCTGCACAGCAGCAGCATGCAGACCGTAGGGAGAAACTGACTTTTAACACAGGTGTGTTTGAAATTAATCAAAGAGAGAACGTTTCTGTTATACACCAGTTTAGAGCGGAGGCTGGGTAAAAGGAAAAAAAAAATTGGAAAATGCCTGTAAGGACATTAAGGTATGCGTGTCTGTGTGTGTCTCAGGTCCAGGGATTGCCATTAACAGTATCAGTGTGTCTTCATCATTCTGTGCCACGGGCTCTGAAGATGGCTTCCTGCGGCTCTGGCCTCTTGATTTTTCTGCTGTCTTCCTGGAGGCTGGTAGGCACTGGGGGTCATGATATAACATTTACCTGCAGAAAACTGGAAGTCAGGAATTTCACACATGAATATTTGAATATTTACCATGCATCACAATTCAGTAGTATTGCACGTTACTAGCCGACATGATTTTCATTGGCTGACTCACAAATTTCAGAATTTTTAGCTGTAGAGTAAACATCTTCATCAACATAATTTCAGTCGTCTCTCACCTCTGCAAAGGGCTGCAACATTACGACTCTTTAAACATACAAACCTGTAAGCATGCTGAATTTTTAACATTAACTTTAATATTGTCTGAGAAAAGAGCATCTTTCTCTGCTTTAGCACCATCATGAATTTTGTTTTAAAAACAACAATTCTGACATATGTATGCGTTATTTGATTTTGGCTGTCATCACGCTTGTGTACTGACATTTATATGCATGAATATGAGATGTACTATATATGTGCACACTCACATCCTCGGATAGACCAAACAATCTGTTTGGAGAATGACTCTGACATGTCATTATTTTCCAGAGCATGAGGGACCTGTGAGCCTGGTGTCAGTCTCATCAGACAGCCTTCAGGTCCTCGCAGGCACTTCTACTGGTAACCTGGGTTTCCTTGATGTGAGCAGCCGTGGTTACAACACACTGATGAGGTCACATACAGACACTGTGCTTGGCTTCAGTGTTGATGGCATCCGTCGCCATCTCACAACAGCCTCTTCTGATGGCACAGTGCGCATTTGGAATATGGATTCCTTGCATCAGGTCAATCAGTGCCACTTTTCCATGTTTTTTTCAGCTATTATGACCTCTTTATAATAATGGAATTCTACTATTCGAATGCTTTATTAATAAATATTCACCATATAATGTTTCAGCAGGCCTCAAGGGAAATGATTTTAATCTTGTTATAATTTCATCCAATGGACACAACCAGACGAAAGGCTCAAATCTATGCACACAATCTCTTCACTTCAGAGAAACTAGACATTTGCCCTCTGTGCCATTTTTCAGTTATCTTTTCTCTGTTGAAGCAAAGCCGTGCAAGGCTATGTTCCTTGTCAGGCTCTTTCGTGCTTTAGAAAAGTAGAGATAGTTGTTATTAAGGTTGTCTGAGTTTGTTAGCAGACTCCTAGTTTTCTCTGTAACACTACAATCTATGTGGCAGCTTTCCCACCTAATTTAAAGCCACTATGTGCAGAAATTCTATGTGATTATAGCCTCTTTCAAATAATACTGCCAGCACAAGTTTTTTTTTGCAGAACAATTTGACAATCCTGGTGAAAATTGGCACATGATAATGTCAGCTTTCAGCTCTTCATTCTCAGTATGCCTAAAGTCAGAAATTATTAAATGCTACACATGCTTTATGTTTTAACAGTCAACAATAAAACACATCTTGAAGATGATATTATTTTACAACTCTAACGCCTGAGTGCCAACTGAACCACAAAGCAAATTATTTTGAATAACTCATTTAAACTGTTGTGTAAATGTTTTTTCTTTCAGTCTTTTTCTTAAACTAAAGACATTGACACTGTATCTGTTACCTTTAGTTTACCATTGGCTTATTTACTATTCAACTAAATGTTGTTTCCTGTGCTTAGTTGTATGATTTTGTGTCAGAGGACAGCCCCTGCTCCGTAGCCTTCCATCCCAGCGAGCAGGTCTTCTCTTGTGGCTTCAGCTCTGGTGTCGTCAGAGTCTTTGACATCTCGAGTGCCAAGCTGCTCGCTGAACACAAGTATGTTTATACCAAAAGCTTGCATGGGCAAAATTATTGTAAAATGCGTCTAGATAAGGTTCTTCCCAGCTCGACCAGTTGCAGTCCATCTGCTAGAGGCACAATATGATGCACTGATTATTATGATTTGACATGTTGCTACACATATATAAGAACCTAAAAACCTACTTTGGCACTGATGTCAAAGGTACACATTTGCAATTATAATTTAATATAAATAACACATGGCTGCATTTTAAAAATAACAATGGGAAATTCTCATCTTTGTTTGATGATGTACTAATCCTTTTGTACCTTGTGGGTCGGTTTTGGTTCTACAAAGCTTTAATAGTGCCTCCCCATCACCAGAGAGAGTAGTGACTGCTTTTGTGTTATTGTTTCTCTGTATGTTTTTTGTATTTATGTATACATATATACATTATAGGCAGCACAGAGGTGAAGTGGTGGGTCTCGCCTTCTCCCCAGATGGGGAGCTCATGTACAGTGCCGATTCACAGGGCTCTCTGGCACTTTACAACGCGTCTGAGGAAGACCACAATGTGATCAGAGTTGTGTGTATGTATACAAACCAATGCACAAGTATGCTTCAAGTTAATTTCAGTACATAGTATGTAACACTTTTCAGAAATGTGAACTTAAAAAAGCTTACTTATTCAGTGAAACATTAATGCAAGCACAGTATAATTTTTGTCATCTCCCTACATAGATTCTGTGAAATTGGCAGCACTGAGATAATGCATACACTTTGTGATAAATTGTGTGTTAGCAATAGATATAGTGAACTTAGTACATTACTTGTTTGAATCACAGACAAAATTCAGCATATACCAGGCAGACACATTCAACTTCAGTGTTATTTGATTCACTCTGTACCTGATTGGCTAGGTAATGTGGTGGCCCAAGGCACTGAGCGCGCCCCAGATGCCCTTGCAGTGAGCAGTGACAGCCGCTGTCTGGCTTTTGTCGGTCCCTCAGAGTACATTGTCACCGTCGCTGACTCACGGTCTCTGGATGAGGTATCTTGCACACTGTCACCTTTCAGCACCATGCCATTCGTTACATTGCTAAGATAAATTAAGATCAGATTTCACTGAAGGGTCAGGATGGAGTTGTGAGGCAGCACCCCTTTGGTTATGTGGGATTCTCTTTAAAAAAAAATTCTAAAAACATACAGTAGATGTTAACAATATTAACGAATATATTTGTAATATTCCCATTCTGACCAATTGATGTATTCATTTTATAACCTGAGCTTTGGATGTCACATTGTTGGTTTTTTATGTCTTTTATGTCTACGTTTATAAGTGTCCACATTGACCCATTCCATCTCTGTCCAGTTGCTCCATGTAGATGTGAGTATTTTGGATGTGGAGAGCCCCCGTCTTGATTCTGCACTGAAGGTCTGCTTCTCTCCGTCCTTTACTGAACACTTTTTGGTTGCCACATCTGCTAACAAGATCCTCTGGGTCAGCACCAAGACAGGTCGTCTGCTCCGTGAGGTAAAACTACTGAACTGCTAACACATTAGCAGACCATGTTAAGTTCTGAAAATCTATGAATGACTGTTGAGAGGGTCCAAGACCGAGCATTTACTTGAGACATTAAAAGGTATTAATTCTGTAAGTACTTATATGTATACATGAGTCTGTACCCTTCCTATTCTGTTACTGTCATTACGTCCTTTTACTTAAATATCATAATAAACTGCTCTGTTTGCTTGACAATAGTTAGTGTGTTAAAAGTGTAGGAATCGGGATTGTGATTGTAGATACTCTAAATTACAGCGAGCATGTACAGCCTATTCTTAAAGGTCACATGCTATCATATGGCATAGCTGTAATTTTTCATGGTTGTTTGGTTGAGCTAAAATCAAGAGCCAAATAGCAATACATAACAACACGCTGACAGTGATACAGTACTGATAACGAGAAGCTCACAGGAAAATATGCCTGTAAATAGAAACAAGAGAGTAACAGCAGTAAGAGTTTTGCATATTTTGTCGCTACACAATCTTTTGATTAATTTTCAAACCATATAGTGCAGTGTTTGTTTCTGACTGGATCTTTGTCCTCCTGACAGGTGTCTAAGGTGCACAAACACCAGTGCACGTCCCTGTCTGTGAGTGAGGACAGTCGATTCCTGCTGACCGCAGGACACAATGCTGTGAAAGTCTGGGATTATGAAATGCAGCTCGACATTAACTCACAGGTAAAATCCAAATTTTTGTCATCTAAGTAACTAAGTCCCTGAAGTTGCTTTATGTGTTTTACAAGTATGAGTCAAATAAGCATCTACTTGTTAATGTGACTGAACGCAGTGCAAAGTGCTTTGACACAGATTTGAACATGTACAAAGGAGGGAGGCAGCTAAAGATTCATCTTCAGAATATTGTCTTGATTACTTCACTAATAGTTATATATCAGAAAAAAGTAAAAAATGCCTATTACAATTTCCTAGTGTGCAAGTTGACACAGTCTGGCCTAACAGTTATTCAGACTTTCAGTTAACTATCATGAACTCCAACAAATATTTCCATTTGGGAAGCTGAAATAAGTGGATTTCTCTCTTTTTTAAAATTATTTTAAACATTTCAATAAACAATACATTTGAGGCTTCTATTGAGGTTTTTGAACAAAGCTTTCAATGTCTGACTTTATATTTTATGACGTCATCACCTTGAAAGAAAGGAATTAAAAAATCCTCAATTTGAATAAAAGGATTCATAAAGATATTAACCAGAATGAGTCCCCTGCAGAGAGAGAGAGAGTAAGAGCAGCACGTCGAGCAACCTAGAGAGTGAATGAAGTGTATCTTTTAATGTATTCTTTCTGTGATTATGCCATCAGAGGTCAGGTAATTTCACACTACTGTCTGATTGTAATTTCAGCACAAGTAATACAATCATGAGAGCAGTTACAATCGTACAATTATGTGGTAAAATGTTGCATTTGTCATTAGCATAATCATATCTCTGTTTATATAGCACCCATCTTAACAAGGTTACAAGGTGCTTGTACAAGTGAAAATCTGACAACACAGATAATAGGACAATGGAAAGTATGTTATTACCATTTAATTTAGCAGTAGGAGTATTAGTAGTTTATGTTGTGGCAGTTGTAACTGAATCATATGTTTCTCTGTACCAGATGTTTATAGGCCACAGTCAGCCCATCCGCCAGGTGAGCTTCACTCCTGACCAACTGGGCATAGTCTCAGTGGGAGACGCCATATTTCTCTGGGACTTCCTGGCACATCCTGTTGACTCTTTGACTGACAACCGGTAATAATCCCTGTTGCATGTTTGAGTCTTGCTATCAATGTGCGTGTTACACTTGTCCAGAGTTTTATTGCTAACAGCCCGATACACTCTGTCTTCACCCACAGTTCACCTCTCAGATTAAGCTGCAGCTCAGCTCCTAAATCAGGTAACTTCAAATACAGTTCATACTCATCCTACAATAATTATTTAATTTATAATAATTAATTAATAAAAACATTTTTCTTAAGACTTCATCAATTATGCTGTGTATCATTTTTGTTTATTTTTTGTTTTTATGAGTAGCTTAAATGGAACTACAAACCTGAATTACATTATACAACCCTACGTTGTAAATTACAATTAAATTACCTTGTATAATCTAAGATCTGCCGGATTCAAATGTTCTTATTATTTACAAATAAGTTGTTGATCTTGTGTTTTCACATAACACTTCAACCAGACGCTGTGAGTAGAGTTCAGTTGTCCAATGGGATGCCTCGACAGACAGCGCCCCTCCCCTCCTCACCACCACCACGATTGGACGTCAGCACCCTTGACCAGGGTGACCAGGGGGGTAAGTTTTACTTTGAAATGACCCACCAGCACATCCAGTCTTTTATTAAATGTATGATTAGCTGTCAAAACTGATGTTGTTGATGCTGATGTCTCTCCCTAGAAATTCACCTTAGTGTGTGACTAACTAGTCTATTCATTCATTAGTAGACTGAAGATAATTGCAGCTTATTGACAGAGTTGTAGTTTTGAGCAGTGCAAGACAGTGAGATCCATTTCCAACTGGCATCCATGCTCTCTCAGCATTCAAATAACTGATTGAACTTCAGCTGGAAACAAACTTACCATTTGATTACCTAGTGAACTAAAGGAAGAAAAGCTTGCTCCACAGGATTTTTATGGATTTTTCGAGACTGCTCTGGTGTGGCATCTATTGAAAAAATTGAAGTAATAAGTGTTTGCCTCTGAATTGTTAACATGGTCTTGATGATCTAATTTGCATTTACAAGAAGTATACCTGCCAAACTGGTGTACAGATTTGAAACAGAAAATACAGAATAAAATATGTGTTACAATTAGAGCTCAAGAGATTTTTGAGACTGACAGCGATTTTAGAAAAAAATAAAATCACTGATACCAATATGGCTGCTGATATAGTGAATTTTGAAATGAAAATAGGCCCTTTCTACCCTTTCACCAATATGACTATGCAAAGGTATTAAAAAGGTTTCTTTCTTAAAAAATAACTTTATTAAAGGTCTTTTAAGTTAAATATTTTTTGTTATGTTCAATAATTTAACATAGACCAACCTGCTAGTACTGCAAATCTCAGTGCACTTTGCAATAACACCTGCATTATATTACTGAAAAAACACTTTTCATATTAGCACATATTAAACAGCTACCATATACGCAGATACCAATACAGTTCCAATATGTCTGCAAAATGTCGAACAGGCTCTATTTAAAATGCTTTTAATCATGCATTACATTTGTATTTATTAATACATAAAAGTGGCCGGTTGCCTAATTGAATTTGAAGATTGCTTTTGCCAGCTTTAGGCTTGATGGCATCCACATGCTGGTGGAGTTAACTTGATTAGTCTTTAGAAAATAAATTACATTTCTTGTTAATGGTACTCCTGGCAGTAGGGAAGCACGGTAACAGTCAGCTATGGTCACTATCCTCCTGACTGATGTGTTTCTGATCTGGGCACATATTGACCAAGAGCCTCTCTTCAAAATAGAAAAACACAGTGATATTTTTAATCACTGGTTTGAATAACAAATATCTTATAACCCTCAGTTATATATACTCTCCTGTTTCCCTCCTGCAGCTTTAGCCTCCTTGTCTATTTGTGATGACACACCAACCATCCCAGCCGTTCCAGCCAGTGGTTCAGGTCCTTCCTCTGACCCAAGACCTGCCGTCTCCTTCCTCAAAGTTACAGAGCTGGACCTCACATCTTCCCTAAATACAAGTCATATGGATGCTGGTAAGTGCCCCACTGCATTGTTCTGCATTAACAGTGAACTGACTTCTTATTTCTATTGTTTTTTTCTTCTTTATGGCAGAATTGAGCCTTCTCTATTTTTAATCACTCCTTTATTGTCATTTAGTTGAGTTGAAAGGGAAGAAACCAGTACGCCCTGATTGTTACAGGCACTTTATCCCACGTTTCAAGACCTCCACTCTTGATCAGGTAAAGAGCTCTTTGTGTAATAATGTATATTTATATACAGTGTATTAGTAATCTCAGCAAATTTAAAAAATGCATTAGAGACATTCACAGGACAGCCACTTTAGGGGTCGTGGCCTCGACACCAGCCAGAAGGAGTGACAGACTAACACAGCAGTCTAGTAGGAACAGCAAGCTGGTAGTCAGAGCTAATCAGCCCTGAGCAGCTGCTGCCAGACTCTCCGTGTCCACGCTGAAAACACAGAGAGTAAAGTACGCTGGAGCTTTTACTGAAGCACTTTGATGGTCATTTGTAAAAGTATGTGTGGTACCTGTGTTGTAGCTGAGCAAGCGCCTGTGCTGTAGCTAAGATAACTGCTCAGAAAGGCTAACTCGGTATGTGTGTCTGTTGGGTGGGGGATCAAAGTTAAAATTGCAGAGGTGCTTTTACACATAAAAAGCATAAACTCCTGTGAATGATTTATCTTGATTAATATACATTTGAAAATTAGTGCAGCGGTTTCACAGACTCCTTCTCAAGGCGATGGGGGGAGGTGGGTTAACACAAAATTTTTACAGAAAGTAGTCCCAAATGGTTGATGCCAGTTAAGCCAACCCATTAAGAGCAGATTTTCCTAAATTTGGCAACAATCGCATTATTAACACCAGCATCTGTTTCATCACATTAGTCATACTTAAGTTTACAGCTCAAAAAACCTCTTTAAGTGTGGAGTACCTCTTTGTTTACTGTGATTCAGGCTGCTGTAGTTCCCCAACCAGGAGAAGAGGGCATAAAGCTGAAAGCAGTAATTGGCTACAATGGCAATGGCCGTGGCAACATGGTGTGGAGCCCTGACCAAGGTTTGAATAATATATTTAAAGTTAAAGTAAAAAAAAAAACTGTGGCAATATTCTGATGGACCGAATAGCAAAATGTAGACAGATTGGTTATTGTTTTACCCTTACCCTAATTGATTTCTTTTGCAGGTGTGTTTGCATACTCATGTGGCTGTGTGGTGGTGGTGGAGTACCTTCATACGGGAAGTCAGAGATACTTGCAGGGCCACAGTGAGGAGATCTCTTGTCTTGCAGTTACAAATGATGCACAGGTACTTTTCACAGTTCAGACTTCACGGCTTTATAACAGTGATTTAAAACACAGTATGTGGACAGTGATGACAAAGAGCTCATGTCTTTTGGGTCTACCTAACATGGTTTTGAGCTTTGTAGGTAATAGGTATCATTTTAAACAGTGTCGGTTGCTGCTGGTGATGTTGCTTTAGGTATCAGAATAAAAGTACTGCTCTGAGTTGTCTGGGAGAGCAGTTTGACTCAGTGCACCCTTAGGCAGCACATTCTGTGTCTGTAGCTGTAGTTGGAAGAAAAGAAACAAAAAAAAAGACTCCATTGAAAATCTGAGATAGATAGAATTTGCATTTTACTACAGTAGCATGATCATCAGCCTTGTTATCTGAGACTCCAGTCTTTTTTAAATTTGAGTTTTTAAAAAATTGTCAGAAGTTTGACATTTTTATTCAATTGACATTTAATCAATTATTGATTTTTTTTTTGTCAAATAGTACTGAAAAAATGCTAACAACAATGTTCCTGAGTCCAAGGTGGTGTCTTCAAATGTCTTGTTTTGTGACTAAAAGTCCCAAACCCAAAAGTATTCAGCTTACTATTAGCATCAAAGCCAACCATTTGAGAATCTGGAACATCTGTGGCATTTTCCCCTACTATTTTTACTTGAAACAATTAATTGATTATCAAAATAGTTGGTGATTGTTTTTCTGTCCATTGACTAATTGATTAATCGACAAAATGTTTCAGCTCTACACAACAATTTTAGCCAGTGACAGTCAGTTTCACAATCTGAAAAATGTTCAAAGCAGATGTTATCAGCTAATTGCTAATTAACATTAATGTTTGTGGTCAAACCACAAAAAAAATTGTAGTATGCTAAATGTACTTGCTTGTGTCTGTGCCATTTCTTTAGAGGAAGAAACACCACTCTTTTTGATATTTAAAAAGTGGGGAGTCTTTAGGGAAATTATCTATAATGACACTGATGATGATTTTAAGCAAACCACTTTCAACATCTATATTAGGCTTGAGAATTTTGTGAAATGTTTTTGACATTTATGAACATTTCCGTATGACATTGCAGCTCCAAAAAAGCAGAGCGGGAAAGTGAGTGCAAGTATAAGCAAGATATAATAATAAACTTGCTATCATGGTTGAACAGAATACAGTACCAACACAAAATGAAGGTGCTTGGAGAGAAAATCAGGTGTTGTGTATCATGGTTTCTATAAGGCACAGTCGTTCTCTGTAATGGAAAAAACTGTAGTATCAGTTGAGCACGTCTGTGTGTGTCTAAAGCACCCATGAATCTCGATGGCTCTTTAATGTTTCTGTGTCGTGTACAAATTCCAAGAAAACACATTGTTGACATTTGTCACCATGGGCAGTATCACAGCAGATAATGAGATTACTGTTCTGTGCCCATGTCCAAGAGGCATTACTAGATAGACAGACTGAACCAGCCACAGACAGTCAGCTCAGCAGGGGAAGAAGTCAGGTATTTCAGCTGGTTGGTTGGTCACTGCAGATGAACTCACTGCAGTGGTTTGGCCAGGCAAGAAAGGAACGAAGACACTAACATTCTCCCCAGGAGACAAGAGAAGGGTGTGTCTGATCAGGAGATGTATGCACTTTCACACTTAATTGTACTGCTTGGTTGGTCAGTGCTGTCAACTGTCTGCAAGTCAGACATTAAAACCACTTCTGAAGTGTCAAATAATTATGAAAATCAATGCAGAGATTCATAAATGACCAAAGGAAATTCACAAGGCTGTTTCATCTAAGTTTCTAAGCTACTGGTTCCATTTGAACTGATGTCTTTGTGTAACACAGTGGGTTGAAAGGGTCTATTCTCAAAAGCTATTGGATCGATGTCTGTGAATCATGTCTAGGGAGATTTCAGATTCAACGATCTTAGGCACCAAAAAGTCAAAAATTATGAAGCAGGCAATTTTCTCATGTTTGGCATGTGTCCTGTTAGTCCTGTCTCTTATGGATACATAAATTAAAATGAAGGTGCTTTGTGTCTGTGTCCTCCTGCCCAGACTGTGGCATCAGCAGCTAGCGGCAGTAATGGTAGAAGAAGCCTTATCTGCATTTGGGACGCCAAGAATGGAACTTGTCGTGATACAATCTCCTATCACAGGGGAGCGGTACAGAGTCTCGCTTTCTCCAGGGATGATCGCTTCTTTCTTTCTGTCGGTCAGTAAAATTTGAATTGGATTGTATCCATCAGTCATCAGCGTTTCCTGTAAATTTGTTTTCCACCACTTAAAAAAAAAAACTGAATAGAAATTGTCTTGACCTATTAAGAGACTCTCCTACTGCTAACAACTGATCCTTTTTTACACCCTGTAGGAGACTTTTCTGAACCGGAGGTGGCTCTGTGGAGTAGTAAGACCTTCCAGCTGCTGTCCAGTGTGAGTGTGTCAGGACCAATCCATGACGCAGCCTTCAGCCCTTCAGCAGCCAGCCAGCTGGCCTGTGTGGGCAGCCAAGGAGCTTACTTCTGCCTAATCAACACGCATGGCTTGAATGTAGACCTTAAGGTAAATTACCACAGAAAAACACAAATGGAAAAAGAATCGGTTGTAGACAAATCAAGATTCACTCCACTGATCCACTATGTTGGCTTTAAACATTTGATGCGTTCTTCTCAAGTACATCAAAACATTCGCATTTGTATTGGATATAGATTTTTGTCGTGTTTGCTTTCGTACATAAGGATTAATCATCCCTTCACCTTCTTAGGTCCAGAAGGTAAGAGCGCCACCTGAGGTGGGTGATGTGGAGCTGACGGCTTTGTGCTACCACATGGACTCCTTGCTGTTCACCGCCACTAATCGAGGACACGTTTGCGTCTGGGATATTAACACACACTGCTGCTTCATGACCTGGGAAGCTGATGAGGGCGAGATCGGTACAAATAGACCCTCTTTATATTCTAACTATCTAGTTTGGATAACAGTATTTTTTAGCCAGATACTCTTAATGGTTTGTACAGAAAAACATCCCATTTCTCTTCTATCTATTTGTATCTTATTAAAGAGATGTTTTTTTTTATTTCATGTGGTACGATCCTGTAATTTTGAGTCGTGGATTTCATGTATTATGGTCATGATATTCTACGAATGGTAATTGGATTTGTATGGATTCTTGTTGTAGGAGTGCTGCTGTGTCGAGGGAACCGTCTGTTGACAGGCAGCAACACCCGCTGGTTGCGACTGTGGGAGGTAGAAGCTGTGCGGTGCGTGAAGCCTCAGGAAAAGGTCTGCAATGTGAAAGACAGGTCTGTAGTTCATTCTCCTGTGATTCTCCTGTGTCTTATACAGGAAGTCGCCTTTTTTTCCTCTTAGAGGAACACAGTGTTAGTTGTCAAATTTCAGTTTCTACAAAATGGCAAGAATTTTGCAGATAGGTAAAAATGTATATTTATTTTAGCTTTTTAAAAGTATTTTCTGTTTTCATCCCCTATACATCACTGTGTAATTATGAATAAATGCAGCTGCAGTAACCTCTCTGTCATGTATAAAAACAGTAAAACAAAAACGTGTTTGTATATGTATTTTGTGAAATGGATAAAGAATGGGAATATGGTACCCTCTCATCCTCAAGTGGCCATGTTTACATTTAATAATTAGTTCATTGTTTTTGGTCCCCTGTGTCTGTCCTTCAGTGGCACCATGGTGGTGTTGGAGCAGGAGATAATGCTGGATGGGACAACGGTCAGTGCAGCATTTGATAGCACAATGGACATGGGCATTGTTGGCACCACAGCAGGAACCCTCTGGTACATCAACTGGTCAGACAACAGCAGCACCCGGCTGGTCAGCGGGCACAAAACCAAGGTACCAGTGTGAGCTTTGGGAGTTAATGATAACTGCATGCATATTCTGTGTCTCCAACAGGGGCTGGAATGTACAGACAAACGCAGATGTTATTAATCACATCAGTAATGGCTGCATTGTTGTCATCTTCTGAGCTCAATTAAACAGATTCCAATACATCTCATGATCAGTTTTGTTGTTAAACAATGGCCTAAACAACTTCAGTATTAAATACTGTATATGGCTTTTTCTATGTATATACATACTGATATGTCTGCTGCGGGCCAGTATTTGGCGGACCAATATATCGGTTGGGCTCTAGTGATTCTAGTGACTCCCACTTCAGCTTTTTGTGCTAATGTGAAAGTACAACTTTTTGCAGTGAGATTCTGTATTAATGGCCTATCAATAACACATCAAAGGCAATCCCCAGGGAAGAGGAGTGTTTCATATTAAATGCAGTTTGCAGCTGTTCAATAGAGCATTTGTCCTAAAAAAAAGATGATGAAATGAAAGTAAAGAAACAGCAGGGAAGCAATTAGGGCTGGGGGATAAATCGATTTCATCGATTAATTCGAATTTGAAGTTAAACACGATTTATTTTTAGTTAAAATCGGTTTTCTCTTGAACTTCCACAACACCGGCGCTCCCTTTGGGCTCCCGTAGGTCAGAGTGCGCTGACCCCTCCCCCGCCTCTCCACGGATGAACACAACATGGCAGCAAGCCAGGATGAGCTCGTCCCCAAATAAGGCACAGTGTCGTTGGTTGTTTGGAACTGGTTTGGTTTTGTGGCGTCCGACAGCGAACAAACCACGACCCACTGCAAAGTTAGTTTGAAAGCTGTTGCAACCAAAGGTAGCAGTACGACCAATTTATTCCAGCACCTCAAGCAGAGGCATGCAGCCGAGTGGGAGAAATGTTGCTCTCTGCGAGATATACAGGACCGCAGCCCACAAACACTCGCTAAAAAACAGTCTACAAAAAAATAGATTAAAATTGTAGCCATATCGCCCAGCCCTAGAAGCAATTAACAGTTACTGATGACATTTCAGCGAACCGATTGTAAGGCCACCAACACAATTAACACTAACAGACAGGTGACATATGAAAGGAAGTTTTAATAAGGCATTGGGCCGCAGTGTGCCACCAGAACAGCTGTAATACACATTTGCATTGATTCTACAAGTCTGTGGAACTCTACTGGAGGGATCAACACCATTCTTTCAAAATATATTCCCTCATTTTGTGTTTTGAGGATGGTGGTGGAGAGTGCTATCTAACACGTTGGTCCATTGTCCTCCTAGAAGAAACCACATCAACCAGGATAGAAATGTGTCATCACAGGATAAAGGTGATCCCTCAGAACAATTCTGAATTAATTTGCAGTGGCCCTTTCAAGCGGAATCAAACCATGCCAGCAAAGTGCCTACCAGAGCCTAACAGAGTCACCAGATGTCCTCACTGCAGGAGTTAAGCATTCTGGCCTGTAGCATTGTCTTGGAGTGTCTGTGTGGTTTGCACAACACTGAACCCTCAAATGTGTGTTCGTCTTTATAATAAGGGGTTTGTGTGTTGCAACCCTACTGTAATATCCTCTCTATGTAACTGTGGGAGGACGGTTCTTGCTGACAATCTGGTCACGTCCTGCATTGATATTCTCAATCACCTAAAGAAGAGTTTCCATCTGTTTTTCCCTACATTTTGCACTAATGCACGAGCATCATGGTCATCAAATGTGCGCTTTTGACCACAATTTCTGGCCAGTTGAGCAGTCTTTGTGACTGAAGCTCCTGCCATCAACAATGAACCCTTTTTCGAAGTCACTTAGATATTTTCCTTTTGCCGTCTTAATACAAAATCAGAATTAACTGGGCCTGCTCACATGTCACAGGGCATGAGTCAATGGTAATTGCTTAATCGTACCATGCAGTGTTGCATTCTCCACTTATTTATTCAGGTTATTTCTTTAATTTGTCAGCATCTGTATTACTAATTTGATTAGAATGTGGTTGTACTGGGTAGCTTCCAGGTGTGAATGTGCAATTTACTTGTTTCACCAGTGTGAAATTTACTGATTTTAATATCCTCCTTAATTGTTTTCCTTCATTTGATGCCCTTGTGTGAAATCTTTTTAAAACTATACCAATAAATTAGTTAATACATTTGCTACATACATAAATTTACATATGCTTCAGATTTTTAATAATGGTAATGGTATTAATGAATGAGGGGATAATCATTAAACAATTTTCAAGTAATTGTAATTTTTTCATTTTTAGCTATTCCTGATGTTATTTAATTAAAATAGCACTAATTGTTAATTGGGGCGAGAGGTAAAGCTTTGCAGAAGCGATGGTCGTTTTGCTGTTATTAACATGGTGACTCCAGCCTCTGATCTCTCTGCATGTACTCCTCTCTCCTGTCCAGGTGAATGATGTGGTGTTTAGCACTGATGAGAGACATTTTGCAACCTGCAGCCAGGACGGCAGTGTGAGGGTGTGGTCAGCCTCCAGCAACGAACTGGTGGTGCAGTTCCAGGTGCTCAACCAGGTGAGGGACTACAAAATATTTCAAATTACTATGTCCGTCAGATCCAGTATAAATTGAAGGAACTAATAATCGAGCATCTAATGGACACCTCGATGGACTCTCAGACGTCTGTAAATTTGATGGGGAAGTCGGAGAATATCAGGCAATTGCACAGATAAACAATAAATTGAACAATAACAATGCTTATGTGCTAAAAAAAACAACAACCCCCAAGCAAACATAGAAGGAATATAAATTTTTAATCATGAACATGACATTGGGACTGTGTTTCCTGTACTTTTTGCAGGCAGGTGGTGTAGTTAGCTGGCATGAGTGGATACAATCACAGCCCCTGTGCACCATAACATGAACACACCCTGTAAATAATACCCCCTCCTGTTTTTCTCTGTGTCAGTCCTGTGGCTGTGTATGCTGGAGCCCTTCTTCCAATAAGGACAGTGCATGTGTGGCTGCAGGATACAACGATGGGACCCTGAGGATCTTCCGGCTTGCCTCCTCAGAGATGGAGATGAAGCTACATCCTCATAACATTACTGTGACTGCCATCCAGTACTCTGTCACTGGTGAGAGAGGACACCAGTGCCAAAATCCTATGTATTTATAGTGATTATAGTACTTGCTCTGCAGGAGTTACTTCATAATGAAATATTGCAATTGTATTTTTTGGGCCACCTCACATTTAAACAATTTGTTTGACCCAATAGGTCAGTATTAATGGTCAAACACTAATATTGTGTCCTAAAACAATGTATAAATGATCAAAGGACGCGTTGAAGCGCTTGCCGTCAAATTAAAAGACCCCCGATCAAACCTATATGCTGGCAGTAAGTTTCATGTTGTAAAGCTGCCTTGTTTCAGCCATTTGGTTTCTGCCCCTCCCTACAGGTCATGTGATACTTTCAGCAGGCAAGAATGGTCTGGTAGCTGTCAGCAGCCCAGTGAATGGAGCGACTATCCGTGTCATCAGGGACCACAAAGGAGCGCCGATTACCACCATCCAGTGTGTGAATGAACAGGTCAGCGCTCTGAATCAGACCAAGGAGTGAAGTTTTAACAGAGCTTAACATGGCAGCCCAATAGAAACTGATAAGAAACATTTACAGTGACAAAATATGGGCCTGAGAGTTCACTGCTGTGGTGTATCTATAGAATGTTTCAATAGTGTATAATCACCTGAAAATAAGAATCCCGAACAGACAAACAAAACACTGCCTTAAAATAGAGGCTTTAGTGTTTTTCACAAGTTTTGCCATCACCGTAGTCTCTCCTACACACTTGAAACGCTGAGCTGTATTCGGATGTTTGCAAACTGCTAGATGCCACTGAATCCTATTCACTGGTCCTTTAAAGAGCCACATGGACTCTGTTTTAAATGCTAATTGGTCGTCTTTATTCCTGAATAGGGTATACATGTATTTTGTTTTGAAATGATCTTTTCAAGTCAGCTTCACTTTGCAAATGCACTGCATTTATACAACACCTCATCATCATATCATGTCAGTTGAGAAATGAAGTGGCACTCAAGTGGTTTCTCCAGTACAAGTGCTGTTGACAGCTTTTCTACATGCCCCTCATACAAAGAATGGTCTGACATTCATTAGCTCTCCATAGCTACAAGGTTGTGGATCGTATGTGATGCTATTTAAATGGAGGGGGAAAAGTGGTCTCTGAAATTTTTCCTTTGATTCTTGTGACATATTATGACATTATTTGCATCGGCATGAGTCTGAAGCTGTTTTATCTTCCAATCCTCAGTGTAAGAATTTCGGACTGGAAGGAAACGAGATGTGGTTGGCTGCTAGTGCTGACAGACGCGTCAGCGTGTGGGCTGCCGATTGGTTGAAGGACAAGTGTGATCTGCTCGACTGGCTGACATTTCCTGCTCCAGCCTATTTTGGGGTACCGTCTGTATTTTAAGTAGCAGTACATGGTAATGACTAGGACTGTCACTCCATATGTTGAGTGCTGCTGTATATTTAATTGGTAAGGCTCATGTGTAGTCAGTAACATCTAATTATAAGACTGATAATCAACCCCTAACCCTTTAGCCATATAATACTCTGGAACTTCTCTGTAAATGTATATAGTTATTACACAGGACTGCATCATTGTCCTGCTGATTTAAAGCATTCAGTGCATCAGTACGGCTTACTTTTAAAGGGCTCACAACTTTGTGTGCGAGTGTACAAGAGTGTGTATTATGCACATGATACACACTATTGCACACTGTCTCAAATTACGTTCCATTCAGCAATATTGCACACAACCCTGAAAAGGAGGTAATGTCATATTTCTGATATGGGCAAATCCATTAAAATTCAAACACATTGCACAATGCGGGTAACCAATTAATGTTAAGTAATACCATTTTATTCTAAATGCATGTTAATATTGTATTTATTATTTTTACATTTTTCAGCATATTGTTGTAACCTGTTTTGGAAATCTCAACAAAATTAAGCTCAGACTATGTTTGACCACTAAGAGTTTTTGTAAACCTTTCGTGTTGTAGGATGACAGCCCACCTCCCAGCCTGGCTGCCTTCTGCCCCGCAGACCCCAGCCTGGTGGTCTACACTGGCTACGGAGTAGAGAAAGAGCTGTCCTTCTACAGTCTGGCTAAAAAACAGGTACAACAGCTCCCCCTGCTTCAATCCTCGGCCACTGGTTTTGATTTTTCCAGAATATTCACACACGTCTGTGTAATCACGTGTTATGTCTTTCAGTATTTTGTTTTTTGTTTGTTTGTTTTTTGATGACAGATAATAAAAAAGATTGCCCTGCCCCACTGGGCCACATGCTTTAGCCTCTCCTGTAAGAGTCAACTCTTAGCTGTGGGATCGAAAGGTAAACTCTATTTTTATTACCATACATCTCCAGTGAGGAGATTAGATTTCACTAGTGTAAGTTTGGAGCTTGTTTGTAAATAATTTCTCATTTTGTTTTAAATCTCTCATCAGAGCGAGTGTTGAAGTTGATCAAGTCGACCAGCGGCAGGTTTCAGGACTTCATGCAACACAGTGACTCAGTGCATACGTGTCACTTCTCTCCCTCTGGGACGCTTCTTTTTACTGTAGCTTTTAATGAGATCCTGCTGTGGGAGGTGCAGGGGCTCTAAGGGCCACAGATCTGTTTATGAACCTCAAACCTTGTAGGTTTATCGACCACACAAGTGCCTAGTTTCTATTAATTTATATTATTGTTATTGTTTTTATAGCTATTTTTTATCAAACAAATATTTCTAGGGAAATAGTTGTAATTTGTGGAGATGTCTGATTTGCCACATCTGAATTTATATTTCACATGTATGGTTTTAAAATGCATTAATATTAATTTTAACATGTTGAAGGGATTGTTTTGTTTTCCAGTGACGTCTAATGTTTGACAATTTATTTTAGGTTTTCTTACTGTGCGTTAGAACGCGTATGGATACTGATGAGTGATTAGCAGTTGCTGTCATGTCTGTTGTTTTTCAGTGGTAGATAATTATGGTTTGTAGGCTGCTCTGGGATTGGGATGGGGTTTAAATAAAATGCAGCTTGAATAATTACAGTTGTCCGTAATGTACAATGAGTCCATCAATGGTGCAAGCACACATACACAAGGGGACACTGTCAGAGCCAAAGATTTTACTTTGTCTTTCCACCAGAATGGTGTATTACAACTGCATAGGTCAGAACATTTTGCACGGATCTTCTTAAGTTTCCATTTTTGTTACAGGACACACCGACATAAGTTCCTTTCTGCCACAAGAACTTGAATTCAGGCTTCCCAATTTGAATGACAGGCTACCTAATTACTGGTACTGGGACACTCTTCTGTCAGGGTTTTCATCGGTTTGCCACTTCAGTATTCAGAAATGTTGCATACACTGTAGATACCACTTCTGTCACTGCTCTGTTGAAAGGATGATGACACCCGGGGCTGCAGACTCAGTCGCTGATAGTTCAGGCAGAACCTTCCTTTTGAAACATGATTATTTTTACACCTGAAATAAAATGCACATACCCTATAATTAGACCATAAGTTTGCTCATTAAACAGCTTGTTACATAATAATGCCTGTGTTGTCAGAAGGAGGGGTTATTAGAAGAATAACCAGTGTGTTCATTAATATTTACTGAGGTATTAGACTTTAAGACAGGAATCTATCTCATCTGTCTTTTCAAAATAGCTTAAAAATGAAATAAACAGTCTCCAATGGTTTGTCTTTTTAAGCTACTGTTACACTAAAGGATACACTAAAGATGTTACTGTAAACAGATGATGACAGTCTTGTGCAGAGGTGGAAAACAGAAAATATTGAAGAGCTGTATCCAACATACTGAAAAGCTTATTTTATGTATTTCAGTTTTAAATATTTTCACTTTCACTTTCACTGTATTTGTGTCTGTTACACGTCTTACATGCAAACAATGAGAGTCCCATAACATACAATGTGCAGTCAACGTGTGCTGCAGGGTGTCTGTTACACCAGCAGGGGGCGTGTTTTCACCGCCTCCTCTGTGAACCGGAATGATAAGGTTTCACCTTGGCTGCATATCGCTGTGGAGAGGCACACATTTTATTTTAGCTAGAAATTTGACATTCAAATGAAAGATAAATGTCACTGTAGTATTGCGGCGCGTAAGACCGTTCTTCACGCAGAGAGGAAACATGAAACAAGACGTCAGGATACTTTTATTGGGGGAGCGTAAGTCTTTCTGTCCCACTGACAGCCGACCACAAGCTAAAAGACTAGCTAGCAAACATTAGCTGTTGTAGCTAACTTAACTAACTTGTAGCTGAATTTACCTCGGTTATTCCTGGCGGCATGGTGCCGATAGCTCTTTTAAAATGAGCATTTAACGTTATGTCTCTGCAATAACTACTTCCTACCAGATAAAATCACATGTGTTTTATACATTATCCAAATGTTAGCTTATTTCCGCTATGCTAATTTAGCCTAGAGTAACTTTTGCGTGCAAGTTGTAAAACGGTTAACGTTAGTTAGTTAGCGGCCATGGAGAAGTTAGTAAGCGTGTTATTTCATCGGATAACCGACCAGCTGTCCTCCACTGAAAGACACATTACATAATACGCACATATGTTTTAATTGGCGGGTATTTAAAACTTCCCTGTTTGCTCACTGTTAACCTAACGTGAGCTAACTTAAACACCTAACCTGATTTAACGTTTAACTTTTACATTGTGACTGTTTGAAGAACCTCCATTTGCGTTAATGTACAACCTCTATGTAGGTTCAGTTTATTAATAATAATAATAATAATAAAAATAAAAATAATAATGCAGTGGCTTAAAACTCTGCTGCACAGGTGCAATAATCATTGCAGTAGTGTTTGCTTCAGTCCATATGAGAGCATTTATATGAATGATAACATAAATAGTAGTCCGCTAACTTTATAGTACATTGTACAGTTCATCATTGGGACCATATAATGTATCCTTGAGCTGCTCTCATCCTCTTCATGTTGTCTCCTTCATCAGCCAAGGTGGGGAAGACATCACTCATCATGTCTTTGGTTGGTGAGGAGTTCCCAGAAGAGGTAAGTGTCAGTACAGCTGTACAGCTATATAGCACTGCTGTGTCTGTGTCCTGAAGAGCTGGGGGAATATTAAGTAGTAGTACCGTCCTGCTCTTGTAGCCAATGTTAACCACTGTTTGCTAATTATAGCCACTGTTATTCTACAGTAGTCAGCACTAAGCAAACTGGTTCCTTTGTGAGCCGTAAAGAAAGCAAATTGTTGCTTGGTGCTATTCACTGTTTGCCCGCACACATAGAGGACTACTTTAGAAATCACTAGAAAGGTTGGCTTCAGTGTGGGTTTTTTGTCACGTAATGGGCTTTGTTTGACGTGATGAAATCAAATCACCCCGCTCTGCTATGTACTACGTGGCCAGTTGAGTTTCTGAGTAATTCTTAGTAGCTATTTTTGATTTGCTGCTTATTTTAGTTTCAGAACACTTCTTGTCAGATTTGTAAGACTGTAGGTACACAGTAGTTTGATACTTCTACTTCATATACATATGGTATTAATGATTAGTACATTCACGACTGTTCATACATTTTCCTCCAAAAGTGAAGATCGCCTAGCATTTGAGCTTAAATCCTAACTGTGTCCATGCAAAATAGAACATGTGTTTGTATTTTGGGGGCTTCAGCCTGATTAAGTAATGGCTCTTTACAGGTTCCCCCCAGGGCTGAAGAGATCACCATCCCTGCTGACGTGACCCCAGAGAAGGTGCCCACACATATAGTGGACTACTCAGGTAACGTTACCTAAAGGCTTATGTGCAACAATATTCAGTCCACAATGGTGTGTCTGTGTGTGTGTGTGTGTGTGTGTGTCTGTGTCTGTGTGTGTGTCTGTGTCTGTGTGTGTGTGTGTCTTTGTGTGTGTGTGTGTCTTTGTGTGTGTGTGTGTCTTTCTGTGTGTAAGTGTGTCTGTGTCTGTGCAGTTTGTTGCCTTTGAGATGTGTTTGTCCTCAACCCCAACAGAAAAAGAGCAGACTGATGAAGTCCTTAGAGATGAGATCATCAAGGTAATTACACCACACAGCATTGATGAACATACAGAACATTGTCCTTTTTAATAGTTGAAACTTCTTTGTAAATTTCACGAGCGTTGAATTTGACAGCTTTGAGTCTTTGAATTGTGTCTGGTTTTTTTTACGTATTTAAGCCATTTAGGCCAGCACCCCAAACATTTTATGCCTTATCTTTTTCATAGTTGTTTCTCTTGCTCCATGTATTTTTCTACATCAACTCTTTTGTACTTCGTTGTTTTTACATCTGATTAGTTGGTCTTGGTCATTCTTCTTTCCTTTTGTCATGTTAAAAGATTTTTTTGTGTCATATCATGAAATTAAGTATTATTTCTCTATAGGTTTGATAAAAGGTTTAAAAGGTTGTTTGAATTCTGTTGATTCTGTTTTTGATGTAACGTCCCTCTCACTTGTTATTTCTCCAACCCACATAGGCTAATGTGGTGTGTGTAGTGTATGATGTCACCAACGAGGACACAATAGACAAGGTAACGACCTGCTTCTTGGCTTTGTCTCATACTGTTACAATCATTCCACATACTGTATATCACTTTTACTTAATGCATTTAAAATAAAACATTAATAATAAACACATTACACTTGTGTCATAGGCTGCCTCTTGTTTTTCAGATCAGAACTAAATGGATACCTTTAGTTAATGGCAACGCAGAGAAAGGCAACAAGTATGTATCAGCTGTTGATGGGTGTGTGTGTGTGTGTGTGTGTGTGTGTGTGTGTGTTACCTGGGCCGTTGAACTTTGCACTCCTTCCCACTGCTTGCATGTAATGTTGGCAAACTTGGCAGTCTAGGAATTTGAGCCTGTTCTTTCGTTTCACTAAGTCGCCCTGAATGAGACATAAGAACATCAGCTAAATGCCCAACGTGTGGGGAGTGTGAGTGCTTGCAGTTCACAATATTTGAATGTCAGCTGATTTGCATTATATCTAATATTGCAGGAATGAGATGTCATTTTTATACACAACAAGAAATGATAGTGTTGTAGTGATAGTTACCCTGTCTCCATATGTTATTTCAGAATTCCCATCATCCTTGTGGGAAACAAATCTGACCTGCGCTGTGGGAGCTCAATGGAAACCATTCTTCCCATCATGAACCAGTTCTCTGAGATTGAGACATGTGTTGAGGTGAAGCTGAACCCTGTCACACTCTTGCTAATCGCTGCAGTCTACACACATGCTAACCTTACCGTTGACATACACACACACAGTTGCCGGGGTTTCACACAAATATTTACACATGGACACTTTATCTGGCTTTTAGATTGCTTAGATAATTATATCTGAAATGTTTTCTCTGCTGTTGTTCTCTTTCAAGTGTTCTGCAAAGAACCTGAAAAACATTTCAGAGCTGTTCTACTATGCACAGAAGGCGGTTCTTCACCCCACTGCACCTCTTTATGACCCTGAGGACAAACAGGTCAGCCTTTTTTGGAAATGGGATGCCAACTGTCGAGTCAGCCTGTTCGTCTGTCCCACTACACTTGTTTACACATGTGCATACAAATGATTGGTTGAATAAGGATAAGATTTGTGTCCTTCAATGTTTTTCCCCAGCTAAAACCATTGTGTGTCCGAGCCCTTAGCAGAATATTCTACATTTCCGATCAGGACAACGACCGAATCCTCAGTGACGCTGAACTCAACTGCTTTCAGGTCCCAGTGAAATTAAATTAAATTAAATTAAAATGTTGTGTTCTTGGTTATTATCCAAAACAAAGCTGTTGGAATAAAAATAAGAACAAACATCCATCTTTGTGTGTAGAAATCTTGTTTTGGGAATCCTCTGGCACCTCAAGCCTTAGAAGACGTGAAGACAGTAGTTTGGAAGAACACCAGTGATGGGGTGCAGGACAACGGGCTGACCCTAAATGGTAAAAGTCATGCATGAATGAGGACATGAAACTTAAAACCATGTTGTTGCAAGGCCACACTCAACTAATGGCCAAGTATTCTTTTTCAGGTTTCTTGTTCCTTAATACATTATTTATCCAGAGGGGCCGACATGAAACCACGTGGACTATCCTCAGGAAGTTTGGTTATGATGACAACCTTGAGCTGACTGATGATTACCTTTACCCTGAGTAAGTGTTGTGACACTATTGTACTCTCTCAGTTCAGTTGTACATTTTTATATTGCTAACTATTTATTAAAGCAGGTTGTATTGTAAACTCCTTCCAGAAAAACGTGGAGTTTTTTTGTGATTGTTGTGGGCAAAAATCCTTGATTATACGGCACGTTTTCTTAAAAAACACGATGGAATATGCAGGATATTTATGCAATTTTATGCGATGAAATTTTGAGAACTTGCAAAAACTGCGGCTTCATCGCAGGGTTTGCAGCTTTTCGATGATGTTCACGTCACGTAATTACGTCACTTCATAACGTTCATGTGGAACTGGGGTAAATGGCTGCTCTTGTGTGAAGTGAACGCAACATGTTTCAACTTTCTGCTAAGATATATGTGACTTTTTTTGCAACGAAAATGCGGGGACTATGAAATCATGCAAGCCCCGCGTATTTTGCGCGGAAATCAGCAATTCATGTGGTGAAAGTGCGGCGTATTTGAAAAAATGCGCCCCCTGTATAAATATGCGGACTTTGGCTGATTATGCATTGAATTATGTGATCGCATAATCGCATTTTTCTGGAGGGACTGATTGTAATCGTATTGGAGATTAAAGATTCCTGTCCCTCTATTCTATGTTGTCTGTCTCAGACTTGCTGTATTTCTCCTGTTTCCATTTGGCTTTGTCTGTGTTATGTTTGTACACACTAGTCAGGAATGTCCAGGTATCTAAATATCAATTTTTTTTTATGTTGTCAGACTACGAGTTCCCATCAGCTGCACCACAGAGCTCAATCATTTCGGTCACCAGTTCCTCCAGCGGCTGTTTGACAAGTACGATGAAGTGAGTAGGAATTCCAGCCGACTTTGGTCACAATGTCCCACTGGACAGGACATTTTCAGCAGTGGCTCTCAGTTTTCACCATGGCATATTCAATAATGGAGGATTACCTTTTTTAAAGACCTGACCTGTTTTCCTCCGTAGGACAAAGACTCTGCCCTGTCACCGACAGAGCTTAGGAACCTGTTTTGTGTCTGTCCTTATATGCCATGGGGAGCAGAGGTCTACGTGACTGTCCCAACCACAGACGAGGGCTACATCTCTAGGCACGGCTACCTCTGTCAGTGGACGTGAGTATCTCACTCGATTGTAAGCATGCACTAGGATTACACTTTTGTGCACTTTATGTTCAGCAATGTAATGTCTGCACTGTTCCAAGGTCACATGTATGTCAATCCCTTCACATGCAGGCTTTCTGCTTACCTTGACATCCACCGTTGCTTGGAACACCTAGGATACCTAGGCTACCCTATCCTCACTGAGCAGGAGTCACAGACTGCCGCAATCACAGGTGTGTCTGTGTGTCTGTGTGTGTCTGTGTGTGATGGATCTTCCCAACCAACAGCATCTATATTAGAAAGGTTGAGATCTCCCCATGGAACATGGCAGCCAATACTGTACATCCTCTTCGACAACTTAAATCCCAACCTCATAGTTAAGCACTGGTCTGTAGGAGGATTATTAGTCTTAATCCTGTCTACTGCAGCCTCATAGATTTACATACATGTACATTTGTCCTTGAGATGTGAAGGAATAGAATTTTAATTGGTAGTCTGTAATTTGCCAAAACATTTACGCATGCATGGTTTGAAATATAGCGTACTCTCCACATATGAGGTACGTTTTGTTATTGTGAGCATTAGTTAAGGTTGTAATAATTACTGATATAAATGAGTGGGTGTATGTGTTATTAGTGTGTTTGTACAGACACACTGTGTGTGTGTGTGTGTGTGTGTGTGTGTGTGTGTGTGTGTGTGTGTGTGTGTGTGTGTGTGTGTGTGTGTGAACTAATAGCAGTCTGAAGACAGTCAGGAAAGCTTGGACAGTGTGATCTAATATGTCTCACTGCTGCCAATCACACACATTGTGTGTCAGAGGTGAGCACATTTATTTGACTCTACTGTAGATGTGAGAGAGGCCAGAGAGCAACACGGATCTTTTAACAAGGGGATTAGTCACTGTTTATAGCATGTGTTTAGCCACTGCGTATTATGGTGCTCAGTCACTCTTTCATTAAATAGTATTGTTGTAAATTCTACATGTATTTTTATCTGTGCTAGCAGTATCACTCTAATAAAGGAGATGTCAGTCTGTTTCTTTAATCACCTGTTAGTTGGGTTATCAGTCAGATACATTGGTCCTGAGGATTGATTGTTACAGTGTTTGGTAGAGACATTCATTGCCTCCAGAGTACCAATCCTGAGATTATTTCTAATTTTTCATCGAGTGCAAAGTACAGTTTAAAATGATGAATAGTGGACTCAAGTCTGACAGCTTCTCTGGCTCCACTGTAGTCCCAGATAGCCTAAAATATTGACTGTACAGACAATATATGTCTTATGACTAATAGTCTTGTGTCTGCTGACTTTAAACCTACCTACCTACCTACCTACCTAAGCAAACGGTAATGGCATACCCTGCACATACACCAGTGTGATGTGCACCTGCATTATATCCCCTAACTGCCACTAGATGTCAGTTTAAGTCACTCAATATATAGACAAATTTCACTTTAGTGTTAAATAGATGTCATGCAATTAAGTAGTCTTTATGTAAAATGTCTTTTTTTGCTTCAATACATTTTAGATCCAGAGAGGGTGGGTTACTGATTATCTGACAAACTAGATTGACTTGTTCAGAGGGAAATCACTTTCTTTTATTTGCTATCACTCCTATTGTTTATATCAACACGTTATTCACAAGCTGCATTGATCAGATCTGAGATGCAGCAGCTACAAATCCTTGAAGATAAACAGGGCTGCAGAAGTGATATTTTCTACAGGCTGGACTGTAAGCTGTCTGTTCGTTTTGGTGGCCAAGACAAACCAAACAGTGATGAAAAAGGAGAGAACAGACTCATTTATTGCCATGTAGAAGAACTGAAACAACAGCTTCTGTGACAGGTTGATGTGCTGGTGGAGTTACATCCTCTGCTTTGGCCTTTTTAATGACAACGTTGGGCCAGTGATGAGCTCACAAATGATGTGTATTGTACTTTAAAATCAAAGACCATTTCAATTTTACCGTTTGGGCGAAGCGAGGCAGGGGTTCGGCTATGTTCATGTAGCTAAGCTAGGCTAATAGAGAGACAGCATGGTTGCCCTGCATGCATTGTGTTTATATTTTGTGTTCGTATGTTTAGTAACACGGGAGAAAGAGGTGGACCTGGAGAAGTGCCAGACACAGCGGACAGTGTTTCTCTGCAAGGTGATCGGACCACGGGGGACAGGCAAGACAGCTTTCCTCCAGGCCTTTGTGGGCCGCAACGTTGTGGTATGTCACCATCTGCTCGTCTGGAGTTGAAAATATGAGATGTTGCATTATTAAACTGTGATAAACGTGTGCTAGTCTGCATGATCACTATTGATAATGGCTGTTCTCGCTTTTGCCTTTTATAGAATAAGGAAAATTCCAGCAGTGCCTTCTCCCCCTATGCCATAAACACTGTCCAAGTCAGCAACCAAGAGAAGTATCTTATCGTAAGTAGCTCCCATCCTCATCTTAATGCTGCCCCTTAACCTATGACCCCGACTAAAGCCTGAGCATCACACTCTTCTCATCCCTGTGTAGCTCAATGAGGTGGATGTGGAGGTCGAGTTCCTGAAGGCATCAGACGCCTCCTGTGATGTTGCTTGTCTCATGTACAACACCAGTGACCCACATTCCTTCGACTATTGTGCCAGTATATACAAGGTCAGTCACAGGAAAATGTTACAGGTAGATGTAAAGAATAATACCAGTGTTAATTTATTATGATATTTAGTTTGTGCCACTCACGTAGGTTGCCCATCTTCTTTACACTCCTTGTGCTGGTGTTTGCACCCAGTTAACCTGGTTATTAATGTAGTATCACTGCTCACTTTGTTGCCTTTAGCAGTTTCTACCACTTGTTTTTGTAATAACAATAGCAAATTCTGGAGAGTTGAAGATTGCCGATGTTAGATAATCCATTATATTAAAAATATACAATTAAATTGATGTAATAAAAACATAATTTGATTTTGTTTCTAACAAATCAAAAAACTCCAAATGATACATCTAATGAAAGCTATTAGTTATTAGAATAAGTAAAGATCTTCTGGAAATACAAGGTAATCAGGACTGTTTACATGCCAAATTTTATCCGTCAAAAGAATTATAAAGGGATTAAACCACTTCCCAAAAAATATTCCTGAATCAGTTTTTATTCTGGTGAAGGTGTTAACAAGTTAAAATTGTTTTATTTACTTAGCAGTAAACAATAACATGGAGCCTATTATTTTGTACTTGCTTATTGTCAGACTCTTGACACCCACAGGAGAAGATGGGTGTCTCCAGCAATAAATAAATAAACATTTGACTTTACAAACTTACAAATGATCCGTGTCCATATGCGTCATGATAAAAGTTTCCAGTTTTTTCATATTTATGTGTTGAAATAACTCTTGATCACTATTTATACCATTTCTTACTTAGCAACACTACATGGAGAGTAACATCCCATGTGTGCTGGTCGCCTCCAAGGTGGACCTTCCTGAGGTCAAGCAGTTCCATGGGATGACCCCAGCAGAGTTCTGTTATAAACACCGACTGCCTCCACCGCTGCCTTTCTCCAGCCTGCTCATTGACTCCACCAGCAAGAACATCTCCACCAGGCTTGCCTGGGCAGCAATGTACCCGTATGTTCTAGTTAAACCAACTACTGCTGTTAGATCAAATCATACGTTTAAAACCTGTAAAATATTAAGCTCAGACATTTGTCTTGCTCTTGGTATTAGCTGCGTGTTGCTTTGCCTGACTGATTTTGTTCCCTCGATTCTCCAGACACCTGAATGGTTCAGACATGAGCAACACATCATTCTGGCTGAGAGTGGCGTTGGGCTCGGCTGTGGTTACAGTCCTGGGCTTTGCTATCTACAGAGCCGTTGCCAGACTGAAATGATCAACAACCAGCTGAGGTTTTTTTCCCCACGCTTCCATTCAGCCATACAGACCAAACCTCCGAGACCAGATCCAGAACCACCGCTGTCTGAACTAGACATAGTTTGCATCATTTTACTTTTCACCCTGAAGGCTCACAGGATACTCTTCATCTCTCTGCCCTTTCTCATTACCTGACTTCTTCATTTTGTCCTACCCTCTGAGTCAACTGATCGCAATCGTCCAAAGGCAATTGGAAGCTAGTGATCATATTGTTCTCCCAGCTGCTGTGCCCAGCTTTTTCTGCCTTATATTGTTCAACCGGCCTAAGTAGGAGTTAGCCTGCCAGTACTCGGTGCATTGATACAGGAAGAACTGTTCATGTCCAAACAGGTGCTTTATCAGAGGGGTTAGAAATGCACGAAGACGGTTGCGTCTAATCTATTTCTTTCTCCTGTTAAGTGTTAATGGTGAGATTGGAGAGTTTTTATATACATGCAGTGTCTCGTAGGCATAACATAGAAAAAAGCCAAATTGACTAGACTGAAGAACCAAAGGGCAGCACATGAAGCTTTTTTAACAGCAAACATCCTGATTGGCTGTAACTGAATCTCTAGCTGGAACTCTCTCAATGAACAATACTCTAGTACTCTACTTTGACCATGCCACCACAGATACAAGATGGTTCATGACCGATTTGCCAAATAACTACAGCAGCAATGAGTAGTCATTGCATGTTATTTGCCCCTTAGGCATATTATTTTGCCTGAGAATTAAACATTTTAATGTTTTTAGCTGTAAGGCTGAGCTGTGGCAGAGAGAGAGATGTGCATGAAGAATGGTGTGTTTATGCATCTGCAGGAACTTAGAACATATTTTCTCCTATAAAAGGAGGCAGGGCAAAAAACCTTACAAATGACTGAATGTGGTCAAATTTATCTCTGCTTCTGCTCAGTTTCCTTCTGTTCACACTGAAATTGAATTAATTAATTTTGATTCAACCTGAAATAGATTGGTAATCTGTATTTTTTTTTTTTTTTCAATCTACATACACCTGACACTGTGCATACACTTTGACCTTGTTACATAATCTGCCACTGAAATGTTTTCCAACATGAGTCAGTCATGTTAATGTCTGTTTTGTTGCTTAATTCAGCTGGGACCGGCTTTTTCTGCAGAGTACACTTGTGTGACTTTTAAAATATGGCTGTTTTCTTACTTGAAATTGAACTGACTTAGATGCTTAATAAAAGACCAGACCAGACTGGGTGGGGACGTTTTTCCCAAAAGACATTATGGTTGTTTGGATGAAAGATGTGTGAAATGCTCTGCTTTATGTAAATATTTCAGACATTCTTTGCCTTTTTTTCCATCCTCAAGTATCAGACTTCAGAGACGTGACCACACACATTCTGTTTGAATCTCTGTGGTTCTTTGAGTGTGTACAACTCAAATGAGACAGTGTTGCTATAATTCACCTTATCATCATAATCACAAAAGGCTTGTTGCCAAAAGTAGGTTGTATTCTGTGATGTCAGAATTTATGATGGATTATTGAGTTGAAAAGCAGCACCAATTACTACCCTTTTGCATGTATCCTCTCAAAAAGCGAGAACAGCATGCCTGTACCAGCCTGGATGCTCTGTATTGATGGTTCAGCCTGAAGCTGTTTGACAAGGTTAGTTTGATGATCTTACTGTATTTAAAGATAATAATGAATAGCAGGCAGAAGGTAATTTGAGTGCAATCTTGACTTCCATCAGTGTGACTCCAGTCTTGTGGGCTGCAGGTGTCTGTCCTAACTGCAGGGACGAGTCGCCTGTTCCTGCAAGGGACCACAAGATGGCGCTGTTGCCTGTCAGGTGAGAGGCAGGACAGCGAGCCCTGGGTGTGTCTGCAAAGCCGCCTCCTCCTCATTGCTCTGCAGTCACTCTAGGGAAAGAGGATGTTGGGATTTTGAGTGTAGTGTTATCTACAAGGACCACCGGGGGGGAATATTGAATTATTGCTATAAATTAACCATAATATAAAACACTCTGGACAGGTTTTGTTTGCAAACAGATTTTTAGACAAGTTTTGCAAAAAAAAAAAAATTAATTTCTTCCCCCCATCAAATACATGTCTTTGTTTACCACTATCATATTCCCTTAAGGGACTTTATTTCTGTAAGATTTTATTTCCCCAATAGAATCTTTAAGCTTTACATGGTTTTACTTAAAATCACCAAAGTGCCCTACAAAGCCCTTGTCTGCCCCCATGGCCGCTCGGTGAAACTGTTGTAGGGTAACTCAGAGTGCACGATTGTATATATTGATATAACCTGGTGATATTTTAAAACTCCCTGCTTTTCATGGGACTTCTGTAGAGCCCATTTCATAGTTTAACTTACATTACAACTCGCACTGTTATCAGGTCACTATTTTTCACTGTTACATGTGCACCATGTTTACCAGCCTCTGCATCCGATTATCATCCCTCTCGCTGGAGCTTCCATAGGTGGGCTTTGTCTGCAACATCCTGGTGCAGAAAAGCTGTAGTTTCATGCAGCGGGGCTAAAGAGGCTTAACTTGACTAAGATGCATATATCACAAATGGAGGAGGCAGTGTTATTGCTCTGTTTTAATAGACTACATTAGGCCTATTAATCTTTTATATGCACAGAAATTCCTCCGTCCACTTAACAGAGCATTTTACGCACGCGTAAAATGCGCGCAATAAGTTGACGAATAGATTTAGTAGAAGATGACAAAGGTTTATTGAATTGCAGTATAAACAGTCTTTAAAAGTGACTGAACACAGTGAGATGTTTGTATATTATGAGTCGTCTGAACATGAGGAATTATACAGAATGAAGCTTGAATGACAACTATAGAGCCTTTAGGAAAATCTTGCTGACGTCCACTGCCTATGGTCTGTACATTGTAAAGACTCAACAATGCCCACCATTGACACATTTGTACTTTCAGTATGACCCCGTGCATAACAATAACTATTCAATAGTTCAACTGTATATACATTTTTTTTTCAGCAAGACCCTAGACTATTTGTATCCAAGGATCGGGTAGAAATTAACAGTATTATTAACGCCAAATAAAAATGCTCACAATTATTTCTACAGCATCTAGAGGCAATAGTGCAATGGAGAGAAAAAACTACTGGTAAAAACAGCATAAGTTTGCATGAGACCTTACAAAAATAATACATATACGAAAACATTTCTTTAAGTATTTACAGTGACTTTGTCTCTCTGATATTGTCCTTTTACTTCTTTTTTGCTGTTTTGGCTGCCTTCTTTGCTGGTTTTGCCTTGGGCTTGGCTGCCTTCTTTGCTGGTTTTGCCTTGGGCTTGGCTGCCTTGGGCTTCTTAACTGGTGCCTTTTTGGCTTTCGCTGGCGTCGACTTTTTCGCGACCTTTTTCACTTTCTTTGCAGCTGCCTTCTTGGGTTTTTCCGGCGTCTTGGGGACCTTCTTGGGCTTGGCCGCCTTCTTGGGTTTGGAGGGCTTCGCTGCCTTCTTTGGCTTGGCAGTTGCCGCTGCCTTGGTTGGTTTTTTGGAGTCCTCTGGTTTGGTCAGCCTGAAGGAACCGGACGCACCGATACCTTTGGTGTGGCGCAGCATCCCGGATGCCACCAGCCTCTTCAGGGCCAATTTAATCTGCACATCGACGTTGTCGCCCACCTTGTAGTTCTTCTTTACGTACTTCTGGATGGACTGTCGGGACGCTCCACTCCGGCTGGCGTCGTGGACGATTGCCGCTTTAATCATGTCCGAGTACTTGGGATGAGAAGCAGGTTTCTTGGGCTTGGATGCCTTTTTGGCTTTGGCTGGAGCTGCCGACGTCTCTGCCATGGTGACTTTTTTTTCTTTTTGAGTAAGTTGACCAAAGAAAAAAAAAAAAAGTCCTGGAGGTGTAATTTCACCCGACTCAGCTGGTACACCGGAGCGTCAGAAACAGCACAATATAAACCCGGCCACAAATAAAGCTTTCCCCCAGAAAGTCCGAGCTGGTGGACAATGTCTCACTTACTGTTTATATAGAGGAAAAAAAATGTTATAATTGTCTACACAAAGTGGCGCGTCAGTACACCGGATCACTTAAGTGTCTTATTCCACAGGCGCTCCAGTGAGCCTATGAAGCCTTTCTGCGGACGTGATTGAGAACACCAACTGCCAGCAGCTGATCTAGCGGACTCCATGGAACTGGCGTCGTCCCGTTTGTGTTTCTTCATCCTCCAACTCCTGACAAATATAAAAGCTACGGCGGAGAACTGATCCACAAAACATTATGGGCTGATAGCAGGGACATTGGGCTTCCCGGGAACACACTTGTTTTCCTTCATCCGCGCCGGCGAACAACTTTTATTCCAGGAAAACCCGCTGGAAGTAACGCGTGCTGTGAACAATTTTGCACAATTCGCGTTAAATTGACCCAAACAGACGGAACCGGGGACAAAATCATCCAATGCATATCGAAATTGAATCTATGCTCGAGCGGATGCACGCGGTTCGGTCGGTGTCGGATTCCGTTTTTGCTTTTAATACATGGATACATTTTCCCAACTAACACAGTCCGGCCATTGACTTTGAGTGACGTGGTCGAGATTATTTAGTGTTAAACCTGCTATAAATTAAATGTCACAATATCTAAGTTACGGGTGACACTTGGGACGATAATATGGGTTTATATGGGGGGGAATACGGTGGGTGGCTCCGCTGTGTTTGCCGCTTTTTGGACAGAATTGCTTATAACTGTCACTATGGCAGTCGCCACTCGAGCTCCATTGTCAGGAAAGTTGCCAACACCTCCAAAGATCAGGGATTCTGATACCGGATCAGAAAATTGATCACTATATCTCGGATAGGGGTGTAAGTGGCTGCCGTGTGACCAGGTGTGAGTCCAGCTGCTAGGGGGGCTGCAGCCGACACCAAAGTCCTTCAATATAGGGCGCAGTGATGGCTTTCTTTTGTTCAGGAACTGGCGCATCAGACCACAGTCAATAACAGGTTTGACATTTGTCTCTCCTCATTTTTATGAGGGTCTGTGGCGACGCTTCTGAGCAACAAAGACCTCCCAAATAACAAACTTTACTATAATTCTCCTTCTTTATTTCTTATTTTGATATCAGGTCTGTTGTCCCTCCCTGCAACGCCATTTTGATTCCTATATGAAAGTCACAGCCACTGGAGTAGTGCTTTCCCCCGACTTTTGTGGCATGGTTATCAGAGTTATTGGACACTATTATTTTGGATAATAACCAAATTTCTGTCCTCGTCCACATCAGACTCAGTGGTGCAAAACAAGCAGGCAGTTTGTAAGAGAGGTGGTCTTCTACAGTGCAGACTACACTGGGATACTGCCCATTTTAAAGCAATGAAGTGTCCACTGTTGTTCAAATAACATTATACCCCAAGTAGCTTTAGGTCTCACCTGTGTGTTTGTGTATTAGAGACGATAAATAATTTAAATAATCAAAATGAAGTTAAATGTAAGGAGGGGACATATCAGTGGCGCTGTCCACCCATCTCCACCTGTGTCCTTATAGAGAGTTGATGACTGAGTGGTTTGTTTTTTGGTGTGTGTGTGTGTTTTAACAAGAGGGTGGGTGAGTTAGTGAGCAAGGAGGGATTGAGTGAGTGAAAACGAGGAGAGAGAGAGGGAGGGGGGATAGAGTGAAGGAGTGATTTTTTTGCATGTGGCACAGCTGAACTAGAGGGAGGGAGCAGATGAAAGGGTGAGTTCTACTGTATAGCACAAGTGCATAAAAGAGGGAGAGGGAGGGGGGAGATGACAGGGTGAATGGAGCGGGTAAGGAGAGCTTGAATGACTGAGTGAATAAAATATGTGTATGGCGCAAATGAATGAGTGAAGGAGGGGGCGGGAGATAATTAATGCTGTGCGATGCTCATATGGAGACTGTATAAATAACACTGTAATGGCTCTGTGGATATTATAGAGCCTATAAATATGCCTATTGTTTGTCACTCCTATTCGGGGCCATGTGTAGCAGGAATAGCGGCTTGTTTTGGTATTTTTCTGTGTGTGTGTGTGTGTGTGTGTGTGTGTGTGTGTGTGTGTGTTGCGGGGGGGTTACATACAGGGTATTGGGCCCGTTTTTTTTGTCACCGATTGTCCGGAGTGATGTGTTATTGTCTTGTGCCCCGTTTAGGAAGCGGTGGTGAAAAAGCAGCAGCCAAACAGAGACTTCTCCCCCGGTTAGACCACTCCCTTCATCCGCCGACAGAGGGACGTCCTCAACACTGACTGGACCTCCTGAGCACCAACACTCAAACGCACCACCTCAAAGTAATTATCACTATAATGGGATTTTACTACATGAACAGGACATTTTATTAAGCGGCAGTTCCCCCCCCCGGGTCAAAGGCGACTGATAACAGGGGATGATTTATAGTCACCCGATGATTGGTGTTGAATTGTCCCTGCCAGAATTGTACCCTGCTGTGTTTGTTTTTTTTCGATGATTGGTGCGTTTGTGGTGGGCGGAGCTCAAACGATTAGTTGATTAATCAATTGTTTGACGAACAGAGAATTAATTGGCAACTATTTTGATCATTTGTTATGATTTTAAGTGTTTTTTTACCAAACATCTGATGATCCCAGCTCTTCAAACATGAGGATGTGCTGCTTTTCCTTGACTTACATTAAAGTTAATTTAATATCTTTGGATTTTGATCTGTTGGTCGGACTCAACCCTCCCCCCCAAAAAAATGTTTTCACAATTTTATCATGTTTAGACCAAGGGATTAATCAATAAAATGATAAGCAATAATGAAAATAATGGTTTAAAAAAAAAAGGTAAACTGCGCTTTATTTATTTATTTATTTCAAGAGTACAAAAAAATGTCTCAATGGAGTAGTGTTGGTATAAGTGTGATATTCCTTTTGCCATTTTTGGTCTACACACGGTCATTCACTGCTACTGCCCACACACTGAAATCTAGACTCCCAGTTTAATCTTTGCCAATGTCTGAGGTGCAGATGCATTCAGCTTACATAATGCTGATCACAGTGCTGGTTTATTTGTCAGAAGTTGTAGAGAGTCGAGTGGGAGGTATACTACACATACATTTACAGAAGAAAGCCACACCATCAGGTCAGGATTGTTTAAGCGTTGCGTCTCTAAATTTATCTGATGCCAGTTTGTAATTTTAGCTGCCTAAAACCCTCTCAAGTCTCATCCTGCCTCTGGCCCAAAGCATTCTGGGTAACATCACCCACCATTTGACTACTGAGGTCCTCAGTGTGCTCCATATCAGGGCTGTGGATCAGCTGTCAAAAGGTCCAAAACTGTCCAGCACATGATCACATTGTGCTCCGTTAAAAGCATTCTTTCTGCGTTGCTTTGACTGTGTAGTCGTTTACTCTGGCTTCAAAAGTCAGATAAGGTTAAATTAAATCAGATCTTTTTACGTTTACCCAGTTGGCAAAAAAAGAAGTTCTGGAGACAGGTTTTAGATTAGATCAATTCTTTTTCTGTTATGAATCCTCTGGGTTTCTTTACACTTTTAGAATTACATCTCACAAACAATTTTATTGATTCTAAACACATGTTTTGTAAGAATATCCGGTTAATTCTTTATAATCCACATTGTAGTCATTAAACTAAAGTCCCAGAAGATTAGAGCTAAAGCACTTTTTAAGTAAAATGCATTAGATGATTAATATGAATTAGTAATAGGCAGAATGAATACACTTACTACCAATCCTCAAATTTGTTTGCTCATCAGATTTGTTAGTAGGTATCCAAAACAAGCACAGAAAAAGCTCCACAATCACTCAGCTAGTCAATAACAAATCTGCAAAACACTGACTACAATTACACATAAGTTTGATGTCATCTCTAGGCTTGAGATTGGGATTGTGAGCAGTATTGTTTCAAGATTACGTGTATGTAAAACTAATGTTTTCTTTGTTTTTAACAACAGGAGACATTTTAGTAATTTCAGGTGTAGTCCTACATGTGAAAATATGCGGAGGGAAAATCCCATTGATTTATCGTAAAGTAATAGCAAGCAACACTGTTATATTAAAATCTGATTTAATCAATTTGTAAATGAAGATGTAGACATTATGTTGATTCTCTTCCAGTAATGATATTTAGAAGAAGACAGATTTGTTTGTGTAGCTGTTACTCACAGTTACAGTCTCAGAGGACAGTAATCATTATTACAGTTATTTAAATAACATTTATTTAAATAACAGTTGACAAAACAAATGACAGCAGCACCTCAGAAATTGGATGTTTGTTTTCTCATTTTATATTTTTGTTTTAGTTTGAGCAACCACTGTTATTTCCATAGAATACACTAAATGTGTACACTTTACATAAACTTGGTGATATGATGGCAGCATCATTTGCAAGTGACACTGGTGTAACATTAGTTCCTCTGTGTGTGTGTGTGTGTGTGTGTGTGTGTGTGTGTGTGTGTGTGTGTGTGTGTGTGTGTGTGTGTGTGTGTGTTTTCAGGGTTTGACAGTTGTAACAACACTTGGATGTGTGAGCAGGTGTCAGTGGCCAAGTGCTGTGCTGACAGCCGAGCCGATAGAGGCCCACCAGTTGGACCCGCACCAAGGCGCTCTTTGTGAATGTCTTACCATTTCCGCCACAAAACTCACCCTCCCTCATCTCAGTATGTAGAGCAGGTAACTATTCCCACAATGTCAGCTGTCAGACCCCCTCTCACATGACAGGCTCGTTACTGGACGCAGCCTGTCGGAGCACCTGTTGGCTGTCCGTCAAACCAACAGAGATGACTCTAACAGAAGCCATTGTCTCTCACGCTTAAAGATGACACAGCATTTTGGTCCTACAGTTAACAGTGGGGGGGTTTAAACAGAGGTGCTCCACTGAAAGATAATCACTTATTCTGTACGTGTTAATGTTAAAAAAGCAGTTGTAAATCGACCTTTCTGATGCTGTAACACAGTCACACATGTGACATTGACCACAAGCCATCACATCTGATTTGACACTAATAGATTGCAGTTCAAGAATGCTACATTTAGCCCTAATCCTGACTTTAACCCTTGCCCCTTTAATACTTGGAGACTTAGGCCGAGTACAGTAACACAAGCAGCCACAACAGGCTGCCACTAAACCAGAGCCATCTATTATATGTAGAATTCAGTATAAAGATAATTATTTTTTTTAATTGAAACTGTAAAACTGTCGTTTAAATTCAGGCCACAGTAAGAAATTCTGATTTCATGAACAGGCTTTACTTTTGTTAACTTTGTGTTCTGTTACTATGTTCAAACTAAAAATACGAGTTGAGTTAGTTCCCATGTTTACCTTTATGCACATTTGCCAAATATTTAAGAGCAGAGAAAAGTATTTTGCTCCACTCATAATGTATGCTGGTGACTTCTGATCAAAGCTGCTTTTCCAACAGAGGGCAGTAGAAGCTTAAATACAAGTAATTCATTGTGTTATTTGCACTTGATATAAGCTTAGTCTTGGCTTAAATGTGTTAAGCGCCACACAAACTGAGCACATATAATTCCATCAAACAGTTATGTTTGCACCATATTATACAGTAGTAAAAGTATGAACAATATAGTAAATGTAGGCCTTAAAACACTAAGTTATTTTGTTAATATATGGTGTTAAACATGGTCTAAATCAAAGTCCAAGAGTAATGAGCTCTGTTTATTTCCAGTTAACTATATTGGGACCTTGTAATTGGTTTGACAGCACTCCTCGAATACTCTGTGGTTCGTTTATCAGCCAACAGGGCTGCTCTCGGTTTAGGATGCAACTGCAGGTTTAGACACCAGAGGTCTCTCCACACTTAAGCCTTATTGCCGTGACTCCCAAACATATCACAAGGAGCTGCTCGGGAAGCCTGTGCTCAACTCCAACTAGAAGTGGCACTGTGACACGATAATGTCAAAAATAGCGACTGATGTTTGGGAGGCGCCCCTGTCCCCATATGAGATGTGAATATTTCAGAGATGGGGCTGAAAGTGGGGCTCCCCTATGAATTAAAATCATGGCACAGAAATTCTAATAAAAAAAAAAATAAAACATTCATTCTTTTCACTCTTCCGTTCTCATTTTTAATTCTCTCCCCCTTTTCAACCTCCTCCCTCTAACTCTCTCCTTCCCATTCCTTGCTTCTTCTGTTTTATGTCCCAGAGAGATCTTCTAAGTGGAGCAGTTAGGACTAAAACTGTGTCATTCAGTGACCTGATTCATTTTTCTGCCGTTTTTCATCATGTGGGTGATTCCCTCTATTGCACAATCACTGCTGCTTGACATTCTGCGGCTCAAGTGTGAAGCACCATCTATTTTCATTTACACGACTAGTCAAGCCTAACAGGTTCCAGAAATCCCGCGGAACAACTTGTCTTCTTAATTTATAGAAGATTAGGTCAGCTAAGAGAACAAACAAGCAGCACTGTAAGGCTGTGAAACCTGAACGACGACAACAGTGTTAAGCATTTATGAGCACTATCATGTGATTGAACTTTCATTCCCTCTTCTGTTGAGCTTTCGGATGTATAGCTCTTCTCCTGTAGTTTCTCTCTTGTCTTTTAGCTGTTTAAACTTACATTTTTTCATTCTCTCTTCCTGCTTCAGGGTAGAGGACGGCAGAAGTATTTCCCAGTATGTACCAAACAGTGCTCCACCTCACTTCGATGTCCACACAGAAACATCCTGAGAAACCAGTGTGGCTGTTTGCTGTTGGTCCACCTCGAAAACAAGTTTAACATAACAAGATTAAGATTTCATCAGGTAATTTCTTCTTGCTTTCTCCAACACAACTTCTGGCCTCAGAAGGGAGAATCTAGCTGAATATAAGCTTCACAAAAGCCCACCATGTATAGTTTCTAGTAGCAGTATGCCAATCCATTTATGACTTAATGCATAAGGAATTGTTTGATTGATTGGTTTATTTTAATATTTTTCACAAAATAGTGCTTACAAAGACACTAGACAGCAAAAACAACGTAGATGATCACATGACAGATCATATCAGTTCCACAAATCCAAAAAGAAAACATTTCTAAAGATCTTCTACATTTCCTTTCTGTCTTCGTCCATAAATCCAAAAATAAGCCAAATAAACCCTCTCATTAAAAAGACAACACAACCTATCACCTTTAGACGACCAGAACAAATCAGTATGCTGAATTGAATGTTTTCAACTAGGTAGCTCTACATGGGGCAATGAAATACAAAAGGAAATTCATCATGAACAACACCAGCATCACATAAAAACATAAAAACCCCGCTCTTCAGGAATACCTCTTAATTGAACACACGAGGACCTCTGCTAGCTGTATTGTATATAATGTATGTTTGCTGGGTAATCACTTCAAACTTATTGTTATCTGTTATTATATAAAGACAAATATAACAACAATATATGCATTTAATAGTACAGTGTCTGATCTAAAAAGAACGCTGGAAACAGTGACTAGTTAAATTTAATTAAGGTTGCCAGATTAAATTTTTAGAGAATTTCTTTGAAGAAGACATATGACAGTTACCAGTTTTATAACTCCCTGATGTTGTGATATTGCAGTCTTGTGCACTCTTTTGTCAGTGCTGAAATTGACATTGCAATAACAGTCTAAATTGAATACACCACAGAGCCTTATTTTGTTGACGTCTACAAGTGTAAACTGAGCACCGGGCTGAATTTCTTCTGGTTGGTGCAACCCTTCCTGAGACTGTAACGTTGGAGGAGCTCATTGCGCACATAGACAAATCCCTACAGTTTGCATGCACACACAGTACGACTGCTTTATAAATCAGCGTACATGCGCCCCTCATGCTTAAAACCCTGGCATAGCCTGTGTATAATTAAGACTCACTGATTTCAGGCCTGTAAGGCATGCATTTATAGCTCCCTCTTACCATCCGTTTCACAGACAGAAGCAACTATCCACACAGACACACACCGGTAAATAAACACCTGCCTTATGGACCTCGAGGTCATTAAGCTGGGGAGGAAGAGTGCAGACTGGAGGTCTAATTAATGCGCCTTTCTGCCTCCCTGAAAGGCCTTGTTATTCTCTCCCCACTCTTTCACATAGAGGCTAGACCAGCGTTTTGTCTGCTGCTCTCAGGCCTTGTTAAAGGAGCAGGCTGCCTGGGTTCGTCCTGCCGTCTGCGTCCATCCACCAGCGGTGAATAGAACATGAAGGGTTTAGTCAGGCTCATGAGAGACCATTCAGTTAGGGACGCTTCAGGCACCAGAGACTGTATTTCACTAGAGGCTTATCTCGCTCTGTCAGTCATCTGGATAATGTCACTTGGTGGTAATGGAAACAATGTTACTGGCATGACCCTTGGTGGAGCTGTGAGCCCAGTTGGCATCTTGTTTATATATTTGGAATGCTGTTTACCCGCCTCTAGTGCCATTTTTAATACATCAAGGTCATTTGTGCATTTTCATAGACACTATGTGATTGAATATATAATATTGACTTTCTTTATAACAAAGCCAAGACTGTGTTTTTCATACAGCACATACTCTGTCAGTCATAATGCTAGACACGGGGGGGGGGGTTTCTTGAGAGGGTTTTCTGCTTTATTTTCTTTATGCAATGGATTTTTTTAGTTCATGGTACTTGTCTATTATTGTTTGATGGGAGTCCTTTTGAGGTTACCAAGGCAACGGTTGAATCCGGTTTCATTTTGGCTGTTCTTTAAATCCATCTTACTTATTGCAGTTTGCACATCCTCCAGCAGTGACCTTTATAATTAGATTTGTCTTATTCATGCTCACAACTACAGAGCGTTGGAGACAAATTAATTCTGAACATTGATTAGTAGTTGAACAAAGAACCCCATGGAGTGACTTCAGTGCTTCCTCGCAGAGAAGGGAATCCTATCGTTGCTATAGACTTGGACAGTCATTATTAAGGTTTTGTTTAAACAAGAGTGTGTCAGATGGGCATAATGGAAGGTGACAAAGGGAAAGTCTGGGAGCTCTGCCATGTTCAAGGTGGCCTAGGCCCAATCCATTAGGACAAATACAGCAGTTAGCTGTGGCTTCATATAGTCAGCAGCTTAAGTATGAGCCAATAAAGCACAAGACACATTGCTGTAATGAGTAGGTCCAGATATTTTTTACATTTTTCTCACATTAAGAAGGATTTATAAGCCATTCCGTCTATAAGAAAGTCCAAACATCTGGTGCAATTATGGTACTTAAACAGACAGAGGCACTGTTTGTCACCAAGCCAGAGGCTGAGTTACACTGTTGGTGGTTAATCTTATAGGAGACAGTGCAAGAAACACCCCTGCTTCAACCACGACGAAAGCCGGAGTCGTTGTCGGAGGTTGTGACCCGATGATGACTTTAGCTTCAGCTACAATCGGATCCAGGTCATTTAAGACTGTTTCACTTTTTTTTATGAGTTAAGATTTACGTCCCCTTGGTGCTTCCTCCCCCCTCATCGCCATTGTCCTGAGGAGGAGGGGTCACTGCGGATTTGTGCAGAAAGAAAACTCCTTTTAAAGGGGATTTCAATAAAATCAAGTGCAGCCACTGTCTGCCGCCCACATGAAGTTCCTTTTCATCATTTGTATGTTCTGACCCTCTTGCTCTGCGCACTGCATGCTAGTCTCTTTATTATGCATCAGATTAACATAAAAAGAGCCTTTGTTCGGGTATTACTTATAATGAACTTTTATATTAAGGATTCTGGTCTTCCGTTATTGTCATAGTTGTATCCATCATTTGAGCTCACTGGAGCTCAAGTCAGTGAGCCATCCAAACAGTTTAATTCAATTTTATGTTTGTGCATGTGTGTGTCAGGGTGGGAGCATGCTTGATTGTGCAGCAGTGCATACAGTGTGCTCATATGCCAGTGCTTATAATTAGCACAGAGTTGTAAATGGTTGCAGAGCAGTCTATAGTTTTCTTGGGGGCCATCAGTGCCATTAATATCACAAGTAGTTTTATATTGCCTATATTGCATTCATCTCCTTTGTCTTCTGTAACCCTAAAATTAACAAAATCATCAAATTGTTGGCATTTCACCATATGCTTGTCTATTAGTAGCTTTTGTGTTGTTTACAGTGTGTGGGTTGGTGTAGTGGTGGTGGTGGTGGTTGGGGGGGGGGTCTGTGCTAGTAGTAAGTGCAAAGCCGCAGTGGAGCCCATCCCCTGCTCCCTCCCTGAGACGCCTTACTTGTAGTGAGGAGAGGAGCCGCAGCCCATGGCCACTCCTTCTCCTTCTTCGATTGGAAGAGAGAGGCCACCTCCCTCCCCTGCCTCATTGGTATGCAGGCAGCGCAGTGTGTGTATGAGGAGAGGGAAGAGAGGGAGAGAGAGGTAGCAGTCAGTGCAATGGGATAGAGGAGAGCGAGGAGGAGGAGGAGAGTGAATGAGAGCTGCTGGATCTGCCTTGCCTGCGTGCCTGCCTGTCGTCTGCTGAAGCTGGGTTTACTGCCGCGCCATGCTGCACTGGCACTGAGCAGAGTCACGGTCCATTTGCACCACTGTCCGCACTCTCAGCACCAGCACGGAGCCACACAGCACCGGTTCTTACTCCGGCGACACCACCAGCATCAATACCAGGGGCACAGCTCACCAAGCTTTCTCCATCATCAAGGGGGGGACGCAGCAGCTACAATTTAGGCACCAGCTGCTACCTCAACCACATCCCCCTCCACCTTATCCCATCCTTACAAACACCACCACTCTTCTCTTTCTCCTCCCTATGCCCTTGTCCTCGGCGGCTCCTCTCACCTCCCTGGCCAGTATATGGATAGAAGCTCCCTGTTTCAGCTCATACAAGAGCAGGTAAGCAAGCAGCGGCAGAGGTTTCTATGGTTACGGGCTCCTGGCCACCTCGCCGTCTATCCAGGGACTGAGACGTGGAGGCTGGGGGTGAGAGCTTATGTTAGGATAGATAGCAGGGGCTGTTTGCACGGGCGAAATAAGCGTGAGACGACACAACGGATGTAAGCATCATGGAGCCATGTGGGCCCCGACAATGCGAGGTCAGATCATGAGCCACAGCAGGAGGGGGGCCATCATGTCATGGTTTATGGCAAGGAGGGAGGGAGGTGGAGGTTTGTGTGCAAATGGATGGATATTCTGGTATGAATGGGTGCGTAGATGGATTGATTGACAAATTCTGTGTTTGAAGAATGAAGCAAAAATGAGAAGATTATAGCTGATCACAGCTGCTGCATTGGCGTTTAGAGCCATCATGCTGTATTTCATTTGTGTGTCTGTACCCGAATACGTGAATTTTCTTCCTCGTGATTTTCCTCCTTTTTTTTGTGCCCATTTATATCGGAGGGTCACAAGAACCAAAGGAATTATTCAGCTTTTCATTTTTAAGTGTCGAGTAATGAGGCAGTTCCTGTGAAGTCCAGGTCATAGGTTTCCTTTCTGTTGAAAACACAGTGTTAGTGGTCGTATGTAGGCCAGTGAAAAATGTTCTCTTGACATCTGGTTTCTCAGAGTCCTCTAGCCATAGTGCTGTTTTTACTGTCCTGTCACATCTATGTTTGAGTAGAGCTTTGGTCTACCATTGCCAAAATTAACAAGCCAAAATGGATCTGAAGGCAGATTCCACCCAGAAAGCATGTGTATATTTGGCTTGTGCTTCCTAAAGACATATGTGATTGTGTGTGTGTCTGTGTGTGTTTCCAGCGCTATCCCATGTCTTGTGTTTAACTCTAAGTTATCTAATGCATCTCCTGTTTCTGATGATGAACTGGTCTGTTGGGGTTCGGACTGATTGACAAATATATTGGGCAATCAT